AATATGAAACAATTCATACTAGAATATTTTTCTTGCATGTTTTATTAGCATATTAATTGTATGTGGAGTTTTCATTGTGACAGTCCCTACATTCATATAGTATGTACTGGGATTATATATTCCGCTTCATAAAAATGTTTTAAAGATTCCTACTGTTCTTAACATTACTTTCACTTTCCTCTATGATAAATATTTAAAAATTTTGACTCAAATTACAACCAAGTTCACCTGCAGCATTGTTTTTTGCTGGTTATTGTGGAAATGGAATTTCATGGACTTTTCTGGAGTGGCTTCAAATCAGATCATCTGGATCTGTCTTCTGATTAGCCAGGATTACAAGGATAATCCATTGGTGCCAGGCTCTAATCCTATTTATATTCATAGTATTTCCTATGAATGTTATAGCCTGATTTTAATTTCAAAAAGGAATTCAAAGTTGCTTTAAACTGAATGCCAAATTCCTAAATATTGGGTATAATTTCTCAAATCAAAACTAATCCTTTGGATGTTAAACTAGCCACAATATTATTATAGTTTTATTTTGGGGAGGAAAGGGGTGATCCTGGGGCTTGAACTCATGGTCTGGAGCTATCCCTAAGTTGTTTTTTTTTTTCCTGATCAGGGGGCATTGAACCAGATCCTCAGATCTCAGCCTCCTGAGTAGCTAGGATAACAGGTGTGAGCCACTGGCACCTGGCCCCTGAGCTTTTTTACTCTGGACTAGCACTCTACCATTAAAGCCCCACATCACTTCTGGCTGTTGGGTGACTTTTAGAGATAAGACTCAACAGACTTTTCTGCTTAGGCCAGCTTTGAGCCATGATCTCAGATCTCAGTCTCCCAAGTAGCTAGGATTACAGGAATGAGCCACTGGTGCTTGGTGCAATTTTTAAATTTTTCAACAGAGGTATATAGAAAGCATGCTATTCTCAGTGGTAGTTTCCTCTTCCCTTATTCTCTACTTGCTACTCTAAAACCCCTCGGGTTTGTGTCATCTTCAGGTGTCTTGCTTCATAAGCCAGTCTCTCAGTCCCTTTTTCTCTTAGCATCTTCAATCTCTGTCCTAGCGGCTTTCTTCTATATGCTCTATTATTTTTTTCATTAAAAACACAAAACCCCAGGGTTAGAAGCCTGGCTCAGCATTATCATCCCAGCCCAGTAAGTGAGAAGTCCTAAGTTCAAACTCTAGTGTTACAACAGAAAAGTTCATGAAAATACAAAACACTATTCCCTTTTAGCCCGTGTCCTCTCTTTTAACAATGATTCTCTCCTTCCTATCATAGCCACACTTTTTTTTTTTGGTCCGTTGTGGGTCTTTAACTATGGGCTGTCCCTCAGCTCTTCAGCTCAAGGCAAGCACTCTACCACTTGAGACACAGCACCATTTCTGGTTTTCTGGTGGTTAATTAGAGATAAATATCTCATAGACATTCCTGCCAGGCTGGCTTTGAATTGTGATCCTCAGATCTCAGCCTCCTGAGTAGTTAGGATTACAGGTGTCAGCCACAGGTGCCTGGCAAGCCACACAGTTTTTAAAGATGTGATGGTGTACACTTGTAATTCTAGCATTCAGGAGACTGAGACAAGAGGATTTTAAGTTCTAGGCCAGCCTGAGCTATATAGTGAGTTCTAGATCAGCCTGAACTACATAGCAAGACCGGGTCTCAAAAAGAAAAAAAAAAAAAGCACCTACTGCACTTACTACAATCTGGCTTCTGACCCACTATTACACAGAAACTACTCTAGATAGCTCATATTGCCAAGTTCAATGTAAAGTTCTTTGTTCTCATTTTGAGTCTTGGCAGCATTTAGCAGTTCTCTTTGAATTTTATCATTCTCCTGGTTTTTCTTTCTAGTATGGTTCCTGTTTCGCTGTACAATAATTTTCACAAGTTCCTTTCTAAGCTGCCCTTCTAAGTTTTCTACCATCCTTATTCTATTTGGATACCTAATATCCCTGCATACATTTTCTGGGTAGGTTCCTTTTTCCATTCAACCTCCCAAGGGAGGGAACTATAGAAGTCATTCTAGCCTCTGTCCTCTCGTTCATTTTATCTCTCTCACCTATCCCCTTTTCTACAAGAGTACCGTCATCATGTTAGTTTGGGCCACAAACTAAGCCTTTCTAACATTGCCAGATTAATTTTCCTAAAAGTTCTTTCTGTCATTTCCCAGCTTTGGGTCCGGTAAAAGTTCTCTGAAGATTTAAGATGTAAGCCCACATTTCTTGGCAGAAGGCCTTTGATTTTTCTGGATCTTCACCAGTCTTATCTCTTGCTATTACCCTAAAGGCATCGTATGATTCAACCATATGGGTCCCTTGCAGACATACTTCCTCACTAGGATATTCTAAGACTGGAAGATAGAAAGTTGTGATATCAAATCCCTCCTAAAGATAATGTCTATTTTGATTTTTTTCTTACTTCCAAGGTTAATTCTCTGTCCTTTAGTTCCCATAACATATCAACCACATGGTTGCTTCATTATTTAAAAGGGAAAGAGAATACATTAAGACTGTTGATAAGTTCTCAAGATTATTTGAAAATTAACTTTTCAAATTTATTTAATTAATTAATTTATTTTTGTTGGTCATGGGGTTTGAACTTGGCCTGGGCACTGTACTTGAGCCACAGGGCCACTTCTGGTTTTCTGGTGGTTAATTGGAGATAAAAGTCTCATGGACTTTCCTGCCTGGGCTGGCTTTGAACCATGATCCTAGGATCTCAGCCTTCTGGATAGCTAGGATTACAAGCATGAGCCACCAGCACCTGGCTAACTTTTACATATATTCAATTATATTAGAACTCTTTACCATTTTCTGAGAGCATTTGTCTATTTAAAAATTGCTGAATACAGGGCTGGGAAGTTGGCTCAGTGGTAGAGCGCTTGCCTTGCATGTCTGAGGCCCTGGGTTCGATTCCTCAGCACCACATAAGCAAAAAGAAAAAAGCCAGAAGTGGCGCTGTGGCTCAAGTGGTAGAGCGCTAGCCTTGAGCTGAAGAGCTGAGGGACAGCACCCAGGCCCAAAGTTCAGGCCCCACGACTGGACCCAAAAAAAAAAAAAAAAATGCTGAATACATATTCACATTAATTTCACATGGTTATTTGTGTCTGCAATGGGCTCTGATAATAAAGGTGTCACTTTAAAATGGCCCTTGAACACAGTCTCTATATCCTTTTATTAAAAAAAAAAGTTGTTTCTTAAAAAAAGTTAACATGTAAATTATTAATAATTACTCAAATACTGCCATAAGGATTTCTTTAATTTTCTATTTAATTTAGCAAAGATTACCTGAACTGAATTTCTTTGTATCTATACATTTTGCAAAAGGCCTAGAAAACTTACCAGTGATCTAAAACTTAAAAAAAAGCTCATCAATTAATTATATACTAGGTTCACTTTATATACTAGGTTCAGATGGTCTCTTGCCATTTGCCATCAGACATTTTTATTTTGGCATTTCAGGAGGTACAAGTTTTTTTTTCCTCTGTGAATCCTATGCTATGAAAAAAGAATAACTCAAATATTGTAAATTGGATGTGATATTTGATTAAAAATTAGTAAATGCCATGCTTAAAGACATTCCAGGACTAGTTTACTCATTAATCCTTATAGAAAAGTACTTATTAACAGATAGGAAAGCCTTCACTGGGGAGTTTAAATAACATTTGTGGAGACTGTTGGTGATGGGAGTCAGTAGGAGGGTAAGTGGGAGAAAGGATAGGGTAAAGGAGGGAGGAAAATATGATCAAAGTACTTTACATGTATGTATGGAATAGAATAATGAAAACTGTTAAAAAATACTTAAACAAGGGAGAACTAAGGATAAGGAGAGTAAAGGAATGGTTGAATTTGATTGAAGCACATAATATGCATACAGAAAAATACCACAGTGAAATGTTTTTGTACAAATGATATATGCTAATAAGATATTTCCAAAAGATCTGTGTGAGCTGGTACTGGTGGCTCACATCTATAATCCTAGCTACCAGGAGGCTAATCTGAGGATGGTGATTCAAAGCCAGCCTGGGCAGGAAAATCCATGATACTTTTAATTTTTAATTAAGCAACAAAAAGCCAGAAGTGGAGCAGTGGCTCAAGTGTTAAGAGTGCTGGGCTTGAGCAAAAGAACTCAGAGAAAGCACCTAAGCCCTGAATCAAAGCCTTAGGATTGACACATAAAGAGAGAGAGAGAGAGAGAGAAAAAAGAGATCTATTTTTATTTTATTTTAAATTCTCAGGCATTTTGCTGGCAACAATAAACTACATGGTGTGCTCATGTCAATTGGATTACTGAGAGCTTAGATTCTTCAAAAATAAATTAATAAAATAATGAGGAAGGGGGCTGGGAAGTTGGCTCAGTGGTAGAGCGCTTGCCTTGCATGCCTAAGGCCCTGGGTTCAATTCCTCAGCACCACATAAGCAAAAAGAAAAAAGCCGGAAGTGGTGCTGTGGCTCAAGTGGTAGAACGCTAGCCTTGAGCTGAAGAGCTGAGGGACAGTGCCCAGGCCCAGAGTTCAGGCCCCACGACCGGACGCAAAAAAAAAAAAAAAAAACAAAAAACAATGAGGAAAAAAGAAACTAAAGAAGCTAGGATATTTAAGAGATTCAAGTTTCATATTTTTTTTCCTCTCAGAAACTACCTTTTACTTCCTAATATTTTTATCTATCATAATAAAGCATAGAGGGAAGGTGAATAATGATGTGGAGAAAAAAGTGAATGCATCTGGAAAGATAAATGGAGATGAATGAAAAGAGCTACCACTTTTCATATTGCTATTAAAATATTGGTTGGGAGGTTCTGGTATTTCCTTTCAAAAGAATAATAGATATTTAACAGTCTGTATGACAACAGTTTTAATAAAATATTTTAAATTTTTTGAAAAAAACTTTTATTAAACCAACTCAATGATTTGATCAATTCTTGATAATAAGTACCTGTAAGCAACACTGTTTATAGTTGAAAGCAAAAACAAAATCCCCATGAAGTGTTACTTACATTCCAAATCGCAATGTTCCTGACACGTATGTCTGCCAGTGTGCACAGTAGAACATGAATGTACCAGCAAAACAACAAAAAAACATCCAGTCAGGATTTGTCCCAAGTTGCACTGCAATACAAGTTCCAAGAACCACAAAAACTGCAGAAAAAAAAATCACAATGAAAAACTGAACAGCACAAATAATACACATATTAACAAATACATATTAACTGAGCATAATATGATTTTGGATGAGATAAAAAGATTATATGCTGTGAATGTACCATCTACTTCATTATCTACTATAGAAACTTTTACATCTTTTTTTCTTTTTGTCTGTCATAGGGCTTAAACTTAGGGCCTGGGTGCTATCCCTGAGCTTTTTCTACTCAAACCTAGTGCTCTACCACTTTGAGGCATAGCACCACTTCCTGTTTTTTGGTGGTTAACCAGAGATGAGAGATGCATGGCTTTTTCTGCCCTGGCTGGCATTGAACTGTGATCCTCAGATTTCAGCATCCTATGCAGCTAGGGAGTATATGCATGAGCCACCTGCGGCTGGCTCATATTATCTTTTAATATAATGTCAACCCCTTTTACACTAAAATTTAGTAGAACCAAAGTTTTTGAAAGCAACTAAAACTCACATTTTTATTTTTGCAATAGTCTTCAAACTTAATGAACTGTAAAAAGTTATAGGTCAGCCGAGTGTGCTGTGCAGGTTTGTAATCCCATTATTCCAGAAGCTGAAGTAGGAAAACTATGAGTTTGAGGCCAGTGTGAACTACATAGGTAATTCCGTGCTAGACTGGGTTACCCAGGAAGACTCTATCTCAAATGTAGAATAGGACTTCCTATGAAAGTTTAAAACTCAGATTATAATGCAAAATGATTTATGTCAAATAAAAAAACCAAGATATCTAATATTCTTCAGTCACCTGCTTAAATTATGATAGCCTTTCAAGTTACCTGACCAGCTTTTGTTCAGTGGAAGTTTTCAATTTTTCCAGGCTTTTAGAAATTATAAAAGCTTAGCTGCTCTTCTCTAATAAGCAAGCTGCTGTTAGCCTTTCGTGTCATAACTGTACTAGTTCAATGATTACAAAATGCACTTAACTTACATATGAAAATCTAAACTCAGGAATGCACTTAACTTACATATATAAATCTAAACTCTATAAAGGAATGTTTTATTCCTTTTTGAAGAAAATATTTAAAATGCCATCTCAAACGATAAAACAATGGTGGGACAAAATTAAAATTAGAGAAGCAGCATACCTGTCAGGAACCCTAGTGAGAAATTCATGTAAGTTCTAAATCTGAGAGAGAGAGAGAGAGAGAGAGAGAGAGAGAGAGAGAGAGAGAGAGAGAGAGAGAGAGAGTGTGTGTCAAAATTAAAATTAGAGAAGCAGCATACTTGTCAGGAACCCTAGTGAGAAATTCATGTAAGTTCTAAATCTCAGTGTGTGTGTGTGTGTGTGTGTGTCCTAGATCTTGAACTCAGGACCATGGCACTGTCCCTGAGCATTTTGGGCTTATGGCTAGCACTCTTACCACTTGAACCAAAGCTCTACTTCTGGCTTTTTTGGTGCTTAATTGGAGATCTCACATACTTTCCTGTCCACGCTGGCATTGAACCACAATCCTCAGATCTTAATCTCCTGAGAATCCAGGTTTATAGTCATGAGCCAGTTTACCCAACCTCTAAATCCTTTAAAAATGTACTAAAATGGGGGCTGGGAAGGTGGCTCAGTGGTAGAGTGCTTGCCTTGCATGCATGTGGCCCTGGTTTCGATTCCTCAGCACCACGTAAACAGAAAAAGCTGGAAGTGGTGCTGTAACTCAAGTAGTAGAGCACTAGCCTTGAGCTGAAGAGCTGAGGGACAGCGCCCAGGCCCAGGGTTCAAGTCCTACGACTGACAAAAAAATAAAATACTAAAATTACTTGAAAAGTTTTCAACGTAGTGCAAATAAGGACATTATCACCTACAATCTAACCACAGGAACAAACACACCTATTGCTAGTACTTTTAAAACTGTTTCCTTAAATTATATATATTTCAGGAATCCAACATGCTGTTTTGATATACATGTGCACAGTGAAATGATTACTACAATTAAGCATACTAGCCTGTTAATTGTCTTCCATTTACTTTATTCCCTTAGGGCAGTAAGACCTAAAATATACTCTGCGAATTTTCAATATATAAAACAATATTATTAACTGCAGTTCTTATTCATCTTAGTTCTTTTAAAAAATCCAAGTCACCATCACATATTTTTAACCCAACTTTATAATTTTAAGGGTTACATAGGATTGATTTAAATATAAAGACCAAAGCCACAGAATTCACTCAATGCTTCTCTCCAGGCTTGTTTCTATAGAATAATAAACCATTACTTAAGAAGATAATGAAGGAAAAATAAATAAATATAAAGACTAAGAATTACCAAACTAGTCTCCTACTACTATGTTTGTATTACCATCTGTAATTTATGAGGATTTTTTTTCTTCTTCTGGTGTTAGTTCTACAGCCTAAACTCAGGGCCTCACAATCTTGCTTGGCCTTTTAAGATGAAAAGCTAGTGTTCTACAACTTGAGTCACACCTCCAGTTCTGGCTTCTTGCTGTTAATTGGAGAAAGGAATCTCACAGATCTGGCTGCCTGGGCTGGCTTTGAATTGAGATTCTCAGATCTGCTTCTTAAACTGTTAGGATTATAAGTGTAAGCCACCACATCCTGGCTGAGACTTTTGATACTGACAAATATGCCATAAGAATTTAAAAAGAAGATGCTGAAAACAATATTTAACATTAAAAATAAATGAGGGCTGGGAAGGTGGCTCAGTGATAAAGTGCTTGCCTTGTATGCATGAGGCCCTGAGTTCAATTCCTCAGCACCACATAAACAGAAAAAGCTGGAAGTGGCGCTGTGGCTGAAGTGGTAGAGCGCTGGCCTTGAGCTGAAGAGCTCAAGAACAGTGCCCAGGCCGAGTTCAAGCCCTATGACAGATCAAAAAAAAAAAAAAGAAAAGAATTAGTTATTAAATTTGATAATACTGACAATAATATTAACCAGATTCATGGTCCTGCAAAACTAAAATTAAATATAAAACCCCTGTGCTAATAACCAAATCTCTTATTTATCCTAATACTATCATATTTTTCTTATCAGTTAATAATCATTAGTATTAAAAATGTAACAATACCTGTTGATAGTGAATCACAACCATGATCAAAAAGTTCTCCCAAGGGAGAACTACTATTGGTTCTTCTTGCCTGTTTCCCGTCTATAGCATCCAAAGATTGGTAAATGAAAAGGCCACATGCACAAGCAACATATGCCCACAGAGGTGCCTGTAAATAAAGTAAGAAAGGCAACAGTGTTGTTCAGACACATCTGTCACTATGTTTGGAGAACATTTTTTACTCACAGATAAGTTTATCTTCACTTTCTAGAGAAGTATTGGTTGGAAACTATGAAATAGATCAAAGTGTTGCGTAAGGATGAACTTAATGACTTAATTAGGATTGTTAGGGGAATTAAATTTCCCACCTTTAGGGGTCAAGTTGATACTGGTTAACTACAGTGTGTCATACATTATATTTGGGTGCAGATGTATGGATCCAATTAATCAAGCTTTAAACTACTGGGCATAAAAAAACTATCAGTCTGAATATGTACAGACTTGATTTCTTGTCATTTCCTTAAGTATGACAATGTAACAGCTATTATTCACATAGCATTTATAGTGTGTCAAGTATATGAAGGACACATGTAATTTATATGCAAATACCACATACAACTTTACATAAGGGGCACAGGCATCTGTGACAAGGTACTAGGACCAACTGCTTGTAACTGTACTTTACAGACATCTCTGGACACTTATTGGCTAGTTCTTCTAACAGACTCTAAGAGTCAAGTGATAATACATTAGTTTCCCCCCAAATTGTATCTTTTTACAGGTATATCACATAAAAGAAAAATTCCATGCTAACTTCATGTGGGAAATTCTGGGTTAAACAATGACAAACTACTATAGGAGTTCTAGCCCTTTACAATGCTAAACATACTATGAATATTCAAAGAAGGGAAACAATATACTGACATTTTCCACATTTACTTGAGTAGGTAAATTATTTTTACTTTATATTTTGTGGAGGTCCTGGGGTTCGACCTCAGAGTCTGGGTGCTGTCCTTAAACTTTTGTGCTTAAGGGTAGTGCTCCACTACTTGAGCCATAGCTCTACATCTGGAATTTTTTGGTGGTTAATTGGAGATGAGAATTTCATAGCCTTTCTTGCTTGGCTGGTTTTGAACCACGATTTTCAGATCTCAGCCTTCTGAGTAGCTAGAATTACAGGCATGAGCCACCAGTACTCACCAATATTATTTTTAAATATGCTTCACAGAATAACACTAGGGAAATGATGATCTAGTATAGAGCTTTGTTTATTAAATATGTTGCATTGTCAAGAAAATGAACTTCTGTTATTGAATTTGAATGTTTTATTTATATATATTTTGGTTGGTCATGGGGCTTGAACTTGTTGCTGAGCTTTTCAGCTCAAGGTGAGTGCCCTACCACTTGAGCCACAGTGTTACTTCTGGTTTTCTGGTAGTTAACTGGAGATAAGAATCTCACTTTCCTGCCTGGGCTGGCTTTGAACTGCGATCCTCAGCTCTCAGCCTCCTGAGTAGCTAGGATTACAGGCATGAGCCACTGGCACCGGCCAGAATGTTATATTTTAAAAGAGAGTTCTTACTTGGGTTATCATCCTTAATAGTTAAAAAGTCTCTGGGACTGGGCACTGTCCCTCAGCTCTTCAGCTCAAGGCTAGTGCTCTACCACTTGAGCCACAGCATCACTTCCGGCTTCTTCTGCTTATGTGGTGCTGAGGAATCAAACCCAGGGCCTCATGCAGGCAAGGCAAGCACTCTACCACTGAGCCACCTTCCCAGCCCCCAAAAGTAGATTTTTAAAAATCACTTTTCACTATTTTCCTACCAAGGTCATGGCAATATTTTTTGTTGTTGTTGTTGGTCATGAGGCTTGAACTCTGGGCCTAGGTCCTGTCTCTCAGCTCTTCAGCTCAAGGCTAATTCTCTACCACTTGAGCCACAGAGCCACTTCCTGTTTTCTGACTATTTATTGGAGATAAGAATCTCACGGACTTTCTTGCCTGGGCTGGCTTTGAACTGTGATCCTCAGATCTCAGCCTCCTCAGTAGCTAGGATTACAGATGTGAACTACGGGTACCTGGCGACAATTTTTATTATAGTCAAAGACATTTTCTCAGGTATTGGTTTCAGGGTATACTGTATTAACACAGGGCTTCAAATAATATTTAGCATTTTCTTTGTAAAAAATCTGTTTAGAACTCAGCTATGATCTCTTAAATATTTCTTAAACATTTAACAATCATAGTATATTAAGCTAGAGTTACAAACCCTGAAAATGATAATGGTGGTTCAATAAGTACAATGAAATGGGCAAATACTCTTGTGTGACTAAGTACTCCTTCTGGACTTTAGGTTTTCTATTTCTTGCTCCTAAAGGATCTAATACCTCTAGGATTGTACTGTCCTAGACAGTAGTCTCTAGCCACGTGCAACTATTTTAGTTTAAATTAATAAAAATAAGTCAGTTCTTTAGTTACACTGGACACCTTCCAAATAGTTACATGGAGCTATTGTTACTATAGTGTAACATGCAGACATAGCTCTGCCTTTGAGAACTGAAAAAGCGAGGTCCTTCTGAGAGATTAAATTTAGGAATTTAATGGGCAAGAATTACTATGACAACATAGATAACTTCATCTATTAGTATACACACAATCTCAGAAAATGGCAAAATAATAATTATATATGTAAAAAGGACTACAGTTTTCACCTTCATTTTCCTTTTTTACTGTAAATACATGACACTTAGTATTTATATCCTTCTTCCTGTTTCTATTGTTTTACTACTCTCAGAGGTATGTTTAAAAGAAATACGGTCTTACTAGGGGCATGGCTCAAGTGGTCAGCACCTGCCTAGAAAGCATAAGCAGTGAGCACAAATACCAGTACAACAATAAGGATGGCCTCATCTAAATTAAGAGCCTGTAAAATACACTGAGTGAAAGAACATCACTAATGTAGATATATATGGGTTTGGAAGAAAATCGGTTTGCAGTCTTGGGAGAGGTATTCTAATGTGAGTAAATTATATGAAAAATTTGGAACACAGTTTTGCTGAGCTCTAGAAACAGACTTGGGATTCACCTAATTCACAAATATACACCCAATGCTAGCAGGAAAGGTTCCCCTACCTCCACCCCTGCCCCTCTTTGCCCCCTCGCCCCCTCGCCCCGGCCTCCCCCCGGCCAAGAACATATGAAGAAATTAATTAAGTATTACGTTTAGAAGGGATTGAGGGAAAAGGTAGGAAGACAAGTAAAAGAATTTTAGTTTTTGTTTTTTATATATATTTTTCTTTTTTTTTTTTTGGGTCCGGTTGTGGGGCCTGAACTCTGGGCTTGGGCGCTGTCCCCCAGCTCTTCAGCTCAAGGCTAGCGCTCTACCACTTGAGCCACAGCGCCACTTGTGGCTTTTTCTTTTTGCTTATGTGGTGCTGAGGAATCAAACCCAGGGCCTCATGCATGCAAGGCAAGTGCTCTACCACTGAGCCACCTTCCCAGCCCGTTTTATATATTTTTGTTTGAGTTTTTCTATTTTATTTATTCCATTCCCTCTGACTGAGAGTATAGGCTGTGTTACATCTTAATTTTCTTTTATTTTTTTTGGGGTCTGGTCATGGGGCCTGAACTCTGGGCCTGGGCACTGTCCCTCAGCTCTTCAGCTCAAGGCTAGCACTCTACCACTTGAGCCACAGCGCCACTTCCGGCTTTTTTCTTATGTGGTGCTGAGGAATCGAACCCAGGGCCTCGAGCATGCAAGGCAAGTGCTCTACCACTGAGCCACCTTCCCAGCCCCATATCTTAATTTTCTATGTTAAAAAAGGCCTAACAAGTTGTTTTACAGTGAGTTAAACCAAAGCATTAAAGTTAGCAATATAAAAACAGAAACAAGTAAGCATCTAAACTTAGAAGCTCTTGTAAGAACTGATAAAATCAACAAAACTCTTATTGGTAATTGCATCACTCAGTTCTGGTTTTCCTATGTATAAAATAGATAACATCTACTTCCTTTATTTGTTTTATGTTGTAAGTGTAACATATTAACATACATCGAGCTACAAAACATAACCCAAATTAGTTACCGGTATTAAAACTTAACCTATTAAGAGGATATTTTGGTACTCCACATGAAAAGATAAGTCTACAATTCTATCTTCGGAATCTGAAAAATAAGGATTAACACATTTTCTTTAGTGCTAGTTTGCTTTTTCTAATGAAAAACAAGTCATTAAAATGTTGCTGTTGCCCTTGCTTTCTATTAGCAAGAATGGTATCTGAAACTCTGAATCATTAAAAAAAATTGCAATATTAAAATATGCATGTATATGAAAGTAAGCATGTATGTACATGAAACTAATGATCACTACTGGTAAAGGGTCACAGGAATTGCGACTATAGTGAATGGAAATTTTCTTGAGTGTTAAGTTCAGGGAACCTTTGAGGTACAAAATGCTCACAAAAGAAAAAAATGTAAAATCCTCAATAATGAGTTAGATGAATCTGTGGTTCTCTATGTTATATATTACTGGAGAAAATTGGGAAAGGGTGGAGGCTATGTGAAAGAACATGGTGTAAGATTAATCTTATTTGATAAATAACCATCTATGATTTACAGAGCATTCTATGCTAGGTATTTTGAATGCTTGGTCCTACTTAATTCTCATAATACCACACAATAAAATCTGGAAAGATAAAATACAACTTAGAGAATTTGTACACCTTCCTGAAGATCATATAGATAATAAGACTTACAATGGAAGCTAGCCATTATCATTTATGGAAGGGTAGAAGTGGAGTGGGATGAGGGCCTGTGCTTGCTAAGAAGGTGCTCTACCACTTGAGCCACACACCCATCCCATCATCACTTATTTTAATGCATTCTATTCTGGGCCTAGCAAGTTTTTCTACTACTCAGCTATAAATGCATGCAGGCATATCCTGTGTAGGACATATCCTTTCTTTGAAGAGGACCAAACACTGGCTCATTTCCCAGGAACAATTCCGAAAAGGTCCCCTTGACCACAACATTTCCCGTTCTGGAAGTCTCCTCAACAGTTTAGCTAATTCGTGTGTTACTTTAGTAATTTCAAGTCACTTAACAACAGTGGGAACATAATTACCTGACTTATACTAGGATGTAGAATAAACGAGATCAGTGGCCAAGCTATCTTTGAATCAGTTCTCGCTCCCAGGTTCTCATCCTAAATCTAGTTGAGGTAAGACTACTGGAAGGCTTCCATTGCAAACAACTGATTTCCCAGATGTTATACTACATCTACAATGACATGTGGATACTAGACCAAATTCTTCTGGAAGTAGTACAGGCCTTAGGCAACCACATGTAAAACAGTCCAAAGGACATGTGATAAGATAATACAAGCCCATAGTGGATTTTGTTGTTGTTATTACTGTGGATTTTTTTCTTCTTTAAGAAAAGGTTTTTCTGCATAATTCAGGTGGCCTTTAACTTCGGATCCTCCTGCTTCAGTCTCAAAGTTCTGGAACTGCCATACCCGGGCTCCTGGTTTTTGTGTTTTTTTTAAGGTACAATAAGATAGTTATAAGCAGCTAGACATGGTGACACACGTCTATAATTCCAGTGTCTGGGAGGCTGCACAGTAAAAGAGGAATTAAAATAATTTCAGACTCAACTGTGATATATATATGTATACATATATATTTCTAGTAAGACATTTTAAAAAGAAAAGAAGAAATGAGAGGAAATCAGAAATATATTTATAAAATCTATATGAACTATATTTGCATAGCAAAAGAGGAATCAAAATAAAAATATTCAAAGTTTATGGAAGGAAATAAGCATCTGGGATCCTCAGATCTCAGCCTCCTGAGTAGCTAGGATCATTGGCGTGAGCTACCGGCACCCGGCAAAATCACGTATTTTATAGTAACTATGACCTTCATTAGTCAGTCGCTTCAGGAGATACAGATGGAGACAAAAAGCAAATGATTAATACAAGGAAAAGAAAGTTAGATGATGGTAATTGTATCTCAAAGAACAAAGCACTAGAAAGGTTACTTTAATAAAGAAAACCTATTTAAGGTTACTTAAGCTTGTGGCTATTATGATTTCATATAGCACAGAGTGTTTGACATCTAAAGATTTCAAAGTTGCAGATCAACTTTTGCTGGTTCAGGATTACCTGCGATGGAACTTTCTGATTAATATGCACAGAATAAATCTTTCTGATTCTCTTTTATCTCATTCATACCTTGGTTTACCTTAACAAAACAAAAAACAAACAACTAAGACAGGGTCTTACTATGCACCCTATGCTGGCCTTTGAGCCTTGACCCTCCTGCCTCAGCCTCTCAATTACAGCCTATGATTATAGGCTTGGTTTGCCATTTGATAAAGAAATCATAAAACCAAATTTACTCATTCTCATGAAGAGTTTCAGCTCCAATCTCAAGCAGCAGGTACAAACAAAAATAGAAGATAAAAGCTGAGTGCTGGTTGCTCACACCTGTAATCCTAGCTACTCAGGAGCCTGAGATCTGAGGATCACAGTTCAAAGCCAGCCTAGGCAGGAAAAGTCTGAGAGTCTTATCTTCAATTAACTACCAGAAAACTGGAAGTGGCACTATGGCTCAAGTGGTAGAGTGCTAGCCTGAGCTAAAGCCCTCAAGGACAGTGCCCAGGCCCAGAGTTCAAGCCCCACACCCACAAAAAAAAAACAAAAAAACAAAAAAACAAAAAGAACAGATTAGAGGCAAGGATCAGCAAAGAGTCTTTGTAAGCAATACCACATTTCCTTTCTTAATGGCAGCCAGAGCAAGATATGGAACAGAAAAGTATCACCTTGACTTTTCCTTACTTATACCTTTTTAGAATAAGAGTGACATACCAACGTTTACCAGCCAGACATGTTTACAAGAAAAAAAATTCAACAATTCTCACTGTAATAAAAGAAGACTTTTTTTTTGACATAATGCCTTGCTGTATATCCAATGCTTGTCTAAAATTTGTGATCCTCCTGCCTCAGCCTCCCAAGTGCTAGGATTTCAGTATATTGAGGCTCAGAAAAGCTTTGATTAGCCTGCTTTATAGTCATGCCATCTTACATACCAGAGATTTTTCTCTCTGATCATTTTAAACTTTGTTAAGACTTACTTAAATTCTTTTATGAGGGCTGGGAAGGTGGCTCAGTGGTAGAGCGCTTGCCTTGCATGCCTGAGGCCCTGGGTTCAATTCCTCAGCACCACATAAGCAAAAAGAAAAAAGGCAGAAGTGGCGTGTGGCTCAAGTGGTAGAGCGCTAGCCTTGAGCTGAAGAGCTGAGGGACAGCGCCTAGGCCCAAAGTTCAGGCCCCTCAACCGGACCCCCCCCTCCAAAAAAAAATTCTTTTATGAAAAGTATTGAGATTTCACATGTGCTTCATGCTAACATGGGACAAAGTGTGTGTGTGCGTGTATATCTAAATCAATCTATCTATCTATCTATCTATCTATCTATCTATCTATCTATCTATCTATCTATCTATCTATCTATCTATCTATCTATATCGCCAGCCAGCATTAGGGCTTCAACATCTAGGTTTTGAGCTCTTTTGCTTGCTTGCTTACTTATAGCTGGGGACTGTCACTTGAACCATACTTCTAGCCCAGATTTTTCTGGTTATTATGGAGTCTCCTGGGACTTTTCTGTCCAAGTTGGCTTTAAATTTTGATCATTTAGGTCCTAGCCTTTTGAGCAACTAGTATTACAGGCATGAGATACCAGCACTTGTCTCTTTCTGGTTCTAATATGAAGCAGTATGTAAAGTTTGTTGTATAGGTCTGGGAATGTGGCTTAGTGGTAGAGTGCTGGCCTAACATACATGAAGCCCTGAGTTCGTTCCTCAGTATTATATAAAGAAAAAGCCAGAAGTGGCACCGTGGTTCAAGTGGTAGAGTACTAGTCTTGAGCACAGAGAGGCTCAGGGACAGGCCTAGGCCCTGGGTTCAAGACCCAGAACTGGGGAAAAAACCCCCAAAAACCTTTATTATATTAAGTATATAAAATAGGTTATACTTATAACAAATGACTGACATATCTTTAGTTATGATGACATAAGAACACTAATGACCATGTTTCTGGTATATAAAAAATGTCATCTGTTGATAAGAAATCCCTCTTACCTGTTCAGTAGCTGTAGGGCAATAGAAGACTAATAAAATAGTTGTGCAGATGTTTATTGATAGTCCAATGATGGTGATGAGATTTGGAGCAATCCACGAGGGAACTCTTCCAACTAACCATTCCCAATAACCTTGCATTAAGGGCTCAAGCAAGGATCGTCCAGCACTCTGATATCTGTGTTCTTCTAGTCGCTTTAGTTGGTGTCTTGACAATGGTGGTGTAGGTAACTGAAACAACTTATTTAATACACAACCTGTAGTACTCATATGCCCCAAGCCCACAGGGGACTCCGGGTGAGAATCTCCACATCGTTTCCTTGTTGACCGGTGCCCACTCATGGATCTTGGTTTTCTTTTATTTGGAGACAGCAATTTATCTGATTTTGTAGCTTTTCACAGCAATGTATCTGGAAAACAAAACAACAAAAAGAGAGAGAGAGATGTTTGTCTAATACTTCTAATATAACCAAACAAGATAAAAATTTAAAGTCATCCTAAAAGAATAATATAAAACAGGAGCGAGAAAACTAGGGACCTGATGATCTTGGTTCTAGTTCTTATTGAAAGTTTAAGACCTTATCTTTAAGAGGAAACTACTGAGGGACTTTCTTTTTTCTTCTATTGGTTGTGGGGCTTGAACTCTGGGCCTGGGTGCTGCACCTCAGCTCTTCAGCTCAAGGTGAGTGCTCTACCACTTGAGCCACAGTGCCACCTCTGGTTTTGTGAGTGGTTTATTGGAGAGAAGAGTCTCACAGACTTTTCCTGTTGGCTGGCTTTGAACTGTGATCCTTAGATCTCAGCCTTGGAGTAGCTAGGATTACAGATATGAGCCACTGATGCCTGGCTACTGAGGGACTTTAATAGACAAGTGCTTCTTGTTACTTCATAGTGTAGCTGACTTTGCAGCTCATACTCTTTCTATTCCCTACTCCTTTAGTTGTATAATGTTACAAATACTTCATTTGCATGGAAACTCAAGCCCCAAGTCTAGCAACTTAGTATTATTTCATAAAAGCTGTTTACTGAACACTTTCATTACATTCCAATCTAAGTACTTCTTAATATGTAACTCAATCCCCACAACTATAGAAGGTAGGAACTATTTATTACTCTCATTTTGTACAGTAAAATAAACTAAGACAAAGTGAGACTAATTAACTTGTCCAATTCATAGCTAATAAGTGAAACAGAAACACAAGGTTTCTATTCAAGCTAAATTTAAAAAATTTTATTGATGGAAAGGATATGGATGGTATTAAGGTGGGGAAAATAACAAAAAAGAAAATTAAGAAACAGTACTGTGCATGCCTGCATGCGTGCGTGCGTGCGTGCGTGTGCGTGCGTGCGTGCGTGCGTGCGTGTGTGTGTGTGTGTGTATAGGCGGTTGGTTACCTGACAAACTAAAGTAGTAGTAAGAAAACATGAGCAACAATGCTTGACAAGAAATGTACTCATTACCTTACTTATGTAACCATAACCCCTCTGTACAAAATCATTACAATAAAATAAAAATTAAAAAACCAAAATAACACAAGCAAATTGGTTGTTAGCTTTTGTTGGAGGACTTTTGAGTTTAATATCTGAAGAACTTACATTTGATTTAGAAAAGATTAGACATAATATGATTATCAGTAATTAAGCAGAGTAAGAAAATTAATATAGTACTTTCAAGATTAGTAGAGCTGCTATATATACATAATTCAGAATGGAGAGTAGCGAGAACTACTAAAAATTAACATATCTCAATGGTTTTAACTGGTGAGAGCCTATCCTAGGGTGGCAAAAATGGAAATATGAAAGACAGTCAAGTTTATGGGTAATTTCTATTTAAAAGAATTAGCAGATAATTCTTAGAATTCAGTGTAAGAAGAAAAATCAATGAACAGCAATTCTTGCACTTCTGTCAAAGGGAAAGTTAAGAAGTTTGTTACGTTTTGGGCTTTTGGGATACAGGGCAAAAGAGGAACTGGAAAAAAGTGTGGGGAAGAAGCCAAATATTCAACTTTTATTTACTTAGTAGTACTGGTGTTTGAACCAAGGGCCTCATAATTGCTAGGCAGTACTTTAGGCACTTGATTCAGGCTCCCTGCACCCAATTATAAAAAAGAATGCTTATTGTCTTTTTCCTCAGTGTTGGGGAGCAAATCTAGGGCTAGCCATATGCTGGCCATGTGCCACTGAGCTTATACTCCATCCAGCACCCCATCCTCCCTCCTTTTAGGAAGAGTGAACAAATGTCATAGCATTCAATATACACCATATAAAAAATACGCAATTTATGGGCAGGGATGGGGGAAAAAAAGTGAAGGAAGGAAGGAGTGGCATTGTCTTTTTTTTTTTTTTTTTTGGAGGGGGGGTCCAGTCATGGGGCCTGAACTCTGGGCCTGGGCGCAGGAGTGGCATTGTCTAAGAAAAACTGTACTCATCACCTGACTTATGGAATTGTAACCCTGCTGTACAACTCCTCAATAGTAACAATAAAAATTTTCAAAGAGATAGTGTCTTGCTGTGTTCCCCAGGACAGTCTTAGAGCAGATGGACTCAAGCAGTCTGCCTGCCTCAGCCTCACAACAGTTGGTACTATAGGTCTATTCCAGCACGCCTAGTCTCTACAAGTTCAAAAGACTAAAGTCTGAGCAAAAGATTAAATTTCAAATCACTACTTAGAGCTAAACTCTAGATAAAGACTATAAAGTAGAAAGGTTCTTGAAGGTATTAACTATGGAGAGAAAAGGAAAAGATAAAGAGCCCTGTGGGAAACTCATAGTTATTGAGTAGGAGGAGGAACAGAAACACTAAGATTAGAAGGGGAAAAAAAAGATTAATCTTAATAGAACTGAAAGGGTAGTGGCATTAAACTAAGAGAAAGGTATTTGATATTCTAGTTGAAAACTATCCAGAAAGCAATAGGAAACTACCAGAAATGGTATACTATGTGACTAAAGAATGTGGTGCAGGGTCTAAGACATCTTAATAGAGGATCTAGTATCAAAACATGACTGTTGTCTGTTATTTTTCCTGTGGTAAGATCTAGCTTATTCTTGTAGAGTGGTTCACAGACTGGTAGCTGTTACCTTATTGATACTGGCTAAAGGGCCAAGGGCTAGTGAAGTTGGGGGAGAGGTGGTGGCACCACCAGAGGAGACACCTAGGCATGTCTAGACTGCACATGAGGATACAATGTTGGCGTCATATGCAGACCATGACTTTCCCTCTACACCCTCATAAATATTCAGTTCCAAGATTTTCATGTCACTAATGACCCGAGGTGGTATCCAAAACCTTTGCCAATCATCTTTCTCAACATCTGGTTCAAAAAGTAGTCATTGTAGTCTCATAATCCAAATAACTTGAAGTAGAATTTCAAAAATCCCAAAAGAATAATCAACGACACAATTTAAGCTATTGAGGTCCTCTAAAATAAACGAATATTTAAATTTTTAACCTTTGCTCACAAAAGTGTTGTGTCTCACACACAAAAGTACTCATTAATTCTTTAAAAATGTTTTATTTATAATCATTTTCTTTTCATTTATTTACTAATCTGTATAAAAGGTCTTAATTTGACATGCTATTTTTTTGAAACTGGAGATTAAACTCAGCTTTCTAGGCAAGTGCTCTAGCTATACTGCATCACACCCCAAGTCCTAAACCTGTTTTTTAAGTAATATTTCTTTTTTTTTTTTGGGTCCGGTCGTGGGGCCTGAACTCTGAGCCTGGGTGCTGTCCCTCAGCTCTTCAGCTCAAGGCTAGCGCTCTACCACTCTAGCCACAGCTCCACTTCCGGCTTTCTTTTTGCTTATGTGGTGCTGAGGAATCGAACCCAGGGCTTCATGCATGCAAGGCAAGCGCTCTACCACTGAGCCACCTTACTGGCCCTTTAAGTAATATTTCTACATTGTAAAACAACTAGTGAATGGTATCACTTTAGATCAAATGACAGGCTGGTAATCACCAAAACACTAGCTTTATAATAGTCAAACTTTATGAAGTAAAACAATGCATTTTCATATTTAGTAAGCTCTAATTAGCTTATATGATACTTCTCCGAGGAAAAAAAAGTTTAGTCAATTCCACTTGTATTTTATTGTTTAAACTTTTATCCTTCTATTATTAAAAAATGGGGTGTTAACTTGCTCTTGGCACTGAACAGTCTGAAGCAACTGATCTGAGTGGTTTTAAGTGCAAATATTTGGCAGGAATGGTTTACAAACTGATACTTTCCTTCTGAGTTTCCCCCTCATGACCTAGATTTCTTTTAACCTTTTATTTCTCACTTAGAAAAAAACCTACTCTTGGGAAGCCTTTCCACATCTAACTTTTATATATCCAACATAAAAAGATGGGGCTGGGAATGTGGCTTAGTGCTTGCCTAGCCTGCATGAAACCCTGGGTTCGATTCCTTAGAACCACATAAACAGAAAAAGCTGAAAGTGGTGCTGCATCTCAAGTGGGGGAGTGCTAGCCTTGAGGAAAAAAGAAAATAAGGGACAGTGCCCAGGCTCTGAGTTCAAGCTCCAAGCAAAAAACAAAAAACAACTAATCCCCCCCCCCCCAAAAAAAAAAACATAAAAAGAGGCAATGAGTTTTTTTTTTTTTTAAGATTTTTCTTGACAACATTTTAATTTGGAAACTTAGTCTCTGTGAGTTATTAGCAACAATATTGGAAATATAAATTCAGACACACATAGCCCTAGACAGGTATTTTAAACACTGCAATAAATAGGTGGGTAGGTCACTGGCAACAGTCACTAACACAGGTCCATTTACACTCTCAACACGTCTATTGTTATGCAAGCCATCTCAGAAAAAAACAGGACCTTCTGGATGTTACAATAGATACAACAAACACGTCTATTGTCATGTAAGCCATCTCAGAAAAAAAACAGGACCTTCTGGATGTTACAATAGATACAACAGGAAGATCAGGACAGAAAGGGAACACGAGGATGTTAGAATGGAAATATGAAAAGGTAGTACAAATATTACAAACATTACTTAACCACTTAAGGTTGCGTATATGTGTGAGGTGCATGCCAGGCCTGGGGCCTGAATAAAAAGCCTCTCACTTTCACTTGGCTTTCTTGTTCAAGGCTGGTGCCTTCCCACTTGAGCCACACCTGAGTCTCACAGACTTTCCTTGCCAAGCTAGCTTTGAACTGCAATCTTCAGATTTTAGCCTCCACCAGCACCTGGCTCTGCTTAAAACTTTTATATGGTGCCAGACCTATGCCCAAAGGGGTAAGCAGCAGAAAAATGTGCTTTATTTCTACAGTATAGAAACTAAAAATCCTCAGATCTGAGGCTCCTGAGTAGTTAGGATTACAGGTGTAAGCCACCAGCACCCTGCTGAAAATAGTTTTTATGGAAAAATGGTTCCAAGTTCCAATACATTCAAGTAATATTTGACTATAATGAACCAGACAGATACGTTTTTAGCTTCCCCATGGCTAAAAACTGGCAAATAAGCAATAACATTACACAGTGTGATGGGCACTATAAGAAAAATAAGTTAATGAGTCAGAAAATAGTTTGGAGTGCACATTTTACATTGAGCGACCTGAAATCTTTGAAGACAAAAAACCACTTTGAAGACAAAAAACACCCCTCCCCCCCCAAAAAAAAAATTGAGCTGGGTACTAGGGGCTAGCTACTCTGATATCATGGTTGGAAGCCAGTCCAGGCAGAAAAGTCCATTGAGACTCTCATCTCAAGCTAACCAGTCCCAGTTAACCCTCGACCGTTCCCCCCCCCCCAACCATACATACAAAAAAAAGAAAAAAGAAAAAAAAAATACCCAGAAGTGGAGTTGTGGCTCAAGTGCTCAAGTAGTGAGTACCAGTCTTGAGAGAAAAAACTAAAAACAAAGCAAACAAACAAATAAAAACTCTACAACACTGGAGCACAGCCTAATTGTTAACCAAAGATAGATTTTCATAAATCGTAAGAATAACTGAGTACCTTAAAGTATATTAAAAAAAAAAGTTCTTGCCACCTGTTGAAGTTCATTTTATAAATATTGGTGACAGTACTTTGGCAACTTTCCCACCTATAATCTGTAAATACCCCTCTTCTGTTATAACCTGGCTTTAGCACTTAGCTCATTGAATGTTTTGTTCATAGACTCTTTTTTTGGTCTTTCCCCACATTGCTCTGTACGTTCCACAAGTGCAAAGGCCATGCTGGTTTTGCTAACGTTCTTTTCCCATAGTCTCATACCAGCCTTAGCACTATGTAAGTAATCACACTTATTGAATGATGAGCAGATATGATTCATCTTATATTTAAGGAACACTTTAGTAGTTCTAGATCTTGTGGAAGCAGAAAAACAGAGATATGTCATTCTTATACTGTCCAGAAGCTCCAAAGGTTTGTGTGTGGAGGTGGGGGAAGGGGGGCAGAGAGAGATAAGTCTTATTAAGTTCTAACATCCTTCCAACAAACGTTTGGAGAACTAATGGTTTGACAAAACATCGTGTGTGTGTGTGTGTGTGTGTGTGTAGAACTAATGGTTTGACAAAACATCGTGTGTGTGTGTGTGTGTGTGTCCTGGGGCTTCAACTCAGAGCCTGGGATCTGTTCCTGAGTTCTGTCGCTCAAAGGCTGATGCTCAAACACCTGAGCTACACAACTCCATTTCCAACTTTTTGCTGGTTAACTAGGAATAAAGAGTCTCAGGAACTTTCCTGCTCAGGCTGGCTTTGAACCTTACTCTTCAGATTGCACCCTCCTTCCTTGTACAGGCATGAATATATATCTATGTGAAAAGCTCAGCAAAGATACAAAAATATAATCAAATACTTAATAGTCACTGAAACTACATGCAATTTTGGGACTTAAACACCCATCATGTAAGACATTTGTACTTACAGTAGCTGAGGATAAAAGCATCCTTCCTATGCTAGACTTCTGCATGGAGAACACCGGACAAATACCAGTAAAACAAACAACTCCTCCCAACTGCTAGGCAGAGCATAAGGTAAACTTGCACAATATCCAACCTGTTATGTGAAATTCCAGAATTCCACCCCCCATGTCTAAGGTGCCAAGTTTTGATCTGCACTGATTCAGCAGTATATTCACAAGCCTCTCACAGGGGAACCTGCTCTTTCCCAACTCCATAGCACCATGAAAGTAAAATACCAATGGCTGACACTAAGGAGAATGATGGGTGGGGAAAATTATAAAACAACAACAACGACAAAAACCAAGAAAGGGAGAAACAAAACTAAATCGCTGGATGAAGTTCAGCATTGTTTAGGAAGTGACACATAAAACAAATTTACAACCCAGGCACCAGTGGCTTGCTCATGCCTGTAATCCTAGTTCCTTAGGAAACTGAGATCTGAAGATCCTCGTTTGAAGCCAGCAGGGGCAGTTAAGCTCATGAAAGCCTTATCTCCAATAGCCAGCAAGAGAAAGCTGGAAGCAGAGGTATGGCTGTTGTAAAGCACCAGCCTTTCGTGAAAAAGCTAAGTGATATTGCCCAGCCCACTATGGGTGCAGGAGGTGTGTGTGTGTGTGTGTGTGTGTGTGTGTGTGTGCAAACACACACACACAAATTACATATACAAAAGTCTTTTTACCACAAACTTGGAAGAAAAAATTACAGTGTAATACAACTTAAATGTAGTGTTTTGCTAAAGTGAAGTCTTGTCTTCCTTAAAACAAAAATAACTTTCCCCCCCCCCCCCCCCCCCCCCCCCGCAAGGACGGACGGTGGGGGTTGGGGGGGACAGCAAAAGCCTGGCATTGTATATTTTTCTAGTTTCTGAAAATGAACACAGAATGACTCTCAAAAAAAAAAAAAAGAATATCAAAAGCACTTTTGGTCAGCTTAAATAACATACAGAAGCCTAGCAAAAGAAGAATCTGCTATGTAATAGAATGTAATTAGCGCTAACGAGGCAGATTTATCTAATATATACTTCTTTTAAGGAAGGGTTGGTTGCAATGAAAAAATTCTACAAGGAACTTCAATCAGCACGGGTGGAATACGCAACAAAATAGTGTTAGAACTTGTCTCTGAGATTTCATACGAACAGATAGTTGTCAATGGTAATGGACCGAGTGCCTTAGCCCAGTGTGGTTTGTGTTTTGAGTCAATTCAACAGGCACGGATTAGAGCATACCCGTCGGAACTGAGTCTTCTGACCACATACAGATTTAACCGTGCACTACGAGACTCCCAAGGCAAAGCCTACAATGCAATGCCATCGATGCCAAACGTCCGGGACGTAACACGGCCAAACTGCGAGGCGCAGAAGGCACCGCTGAGGGTGAAGATCCCATTCACCCCGGGGCTCCTGGCAAACCCGAGCAAGCCTCCCGTCGTTCCTCCTTCTAAGAATACTGCGGAAACACACCCCATTCGCTGGCGTGTCTGCGCTGGTGTGTCTGCGCTGGTCAGGATGAGCTGAAATTTCTAGAAAAGTTGCTGACCAAGAAGCGAGGCCCAGCCAGGAAACCTCCACCACCGCCATCATCACCACCACCACGGCAATTCCAAAGGGGAAGAAGGCACAGCCGGCCCGAGATGCTGCCCGGTGTGTGGAGCTGGCAGCGCGGGGTGTAGAGCCGACAGGCAGGCTCGGTTCCGCCCGGGCGGCGGCCCAGCCCTCCCGCCGCCCGCCGCCGGCCGGCCGCGCTCCGCGGTCCCCGCTCCCCCAGCCCCGACTCCCGCTTCGGCCCGCGCAGGCGCTCTGCCACCTCCCCGTCTCCCAAGCCCCCCGTAAGGGGCAGTCGGTCGCCCCCCGGCGCTGCCCGAGCCCCGCGCACGGGCGCGAGAGGCCGCCCTGCATGAGGAAGGGCGGCGTTCGTCTCAGCGAAACCCCACACACCACTCCGCCGAGGAGCCCTCCCCGGAGCCTCCAGCTCGCCCTCCTTCCCCTCCACGTCCTTCACATCCGGGCCTCTTCCGCTCCCCCGAGACTTTACCCCAGCATCCTTACCCGCACTCCGACAAGCACACCTACGAATAACAACTCCGGGTCCAGCCGCCCGGGTGACTCCAAGCGGCGGCGGCACGTTCACGACACTTTCGCGACTGCCGTAAAGGGCGCGCGCGTCGGGGGTGGGGGGGGGGGTCGGAAGGAGCGGCAGCGCGTCCCCGAGCTGGCCGGGCGGCTCGGGAGCGCGCCCCAGAGTTCCACCCTGTCTCCTGCTGCGGCCGGGCGGTGAGCACCGGAGCCCTCCGCTGACGCTGGCTGGATCTGCCAGGTAAGGCAGTTCAGAAGGTCAGGTGAGGAGGGGAAGATGCTTGATGCCTGGAGCCCGACGTTTGGAAATGCGTCAGCGGACTGGGACGTGGCCCCGGGGGTGCTCTGGGGCTCTGCCCGTCTCCCCGGGAGCCGGCCACCCGCCCCCCCCCCCGGGCCCCGCCACGGTCTGTCTGCACCTGGGGGTGCGCGATGCGAACGCCAGAGCCGGGCTGGGGGGTGTGCAAGGCGGTGGGAGAGCTTCGAGGGGACCCAAGAGGGGCTGGTGAGTGCAGGTGGGCTCGGACCCCGCACCCCACTTTGCTGTCTCGTTACTTGGTTCTTCCACGGCTCGTTTGCCCCCCCCCCCCCTCCCCACAGCGGCGCTTCTTTGTAAACTGTCTTCTGCATCTTCTCCTGGAGGCCCAAGGTGAAGCGAAACAGATCTCTGCTCCAGTGCTGTGGGACCTGGCGGAGAAAAGAAAAAAGCACAGATCTCAACACTCTGTTTTTGTTTCTAAGCGGGTAAGAACCCCCCCCCCAACACACACACACGCACACACACACACACACACACACACACACACTACGGTTTGGGTTGGGTACGTGTTCCCTTTGTCACTGCTGGCCACAGATTCTGGTGGCGCGGGCAGGAGTCAGTTTGAAACTGGGATCCTTGGTGACCTTGTGTTTGCTGGAACTCCGTCTACTGCTGCCCACATTGGTGATGCTGGGAGTGGTTCCCACGCGGACAGGAAGTTGCTGGTCTTTTGTATCCTCAGGACCGGAGTTTTTCATTTGCAAAACAGGAAACGGCTTGGGGAAAAAAAAATGTTCCCAGTTCTTTCAAATTTTAGTTCATGAATCAGTAGCCAATGAACCTCAATTTGTGTGACATTGGCAAATTTTCATTTCTCTTCCATTGTGAGGTTTATCTTCTATATTCTTTTAGGATTTAAACTACAGGCCCAATACTCTACATTTGTTAAGAGGCCATTATTAGAGTTTAGGGAAATAATCGTTTTTCTTTCATGCTTTACTCTCTGCCTGAGTGAAAGAAGCTCAGGGCTTTCCATCTGTTCACTTGAAACATCCACAATTTACTTTCTTTTCTTTTATTAACAGGTAGCTGGGAGACTTTATTAAAAGTTTTGAATTATTTTTTTTTCTTCGTGCATTTTTGTTATTATAAAAGGTGATGTACCGAGGAGTTACAGTTATATAAGTCAGATATAAAGAGTACATATCTTTTTAAACAATGCCATACCTTCCCTTGCTCTCTCTCAGGTTTTCCCTCCCATCCCCACCCACAAGTTATACAGTTCATTTCCCGGATAGTATCTAGTGAGTACCACTGCTGCATTTGTTCACCCTTTGTCCCACCCTCCCAAGAAGAGGGTTTTTCCTTTGTTGCTGTTTTTGTTTTCTTTTTCTTTTGTCCTGTTTGTTTCTCCCAGTTCAGTTTCTTCTTATTCCTTAGCATTTGCCACTTGGAGAAAATACCATCAGAAATCATCTACCAGTGGCTTTGCATATTTGTAAAAATTGGAGCTGCAGTTCTGATTCTTGGAGTTTCAAAGACAGCACAGAAGATAGGTGATAGATGCAAAAATGTTTTGTTGAACATTCTTACTGCTGTGTCAAGTTTATCCCTACATATTTTCAAGTCTTTTAAAGAGTTTCTGCAAGTATTGACCGTTAAACTTCTGATTTTGTTTTGCTAGGAATTACTCTGTTACTTATCTTTCTATCCTAATTTGTGTACTTCAGTTTCTCATGTTAAACTATCTCATGTTAAACTCATGTTAAAACTATCTCAAATCCTGCTGCAAATTGAGAGAATTTATACATAGCAGTTCAATCTTATAGGATGCTAGTGACTCGGGCCTATAATCCTAGCTATTCAAGAGACAAAGATCTGAGAATTCAAAAAGCCAGAAGTGTAGATGTGGACCAAGTGGTAGAGTGCCAGTCTTGAGCAAAAAAGCTAAGCAGGAGCACAAAGCCCTCAGTTCAAGCTCCAGTACATGCACACACTAAAAAAGCAGTTGAGTCTATGAGTGGTTACTTACCATGGTCTATACCATGGTAATAAATAATAAATACACTGTCATTTCTTACACTTATCCCATTCCAGTCTAAGGAACAGTCCTTGGAGGGTTTGTCTGTTTTACAAATAAGAATATTGTAGCTCATGAGTTAAATAACCTATCTAAAATCCTATCACTGGATAATTGGTAAGATGAGTTATTTTTCAAGCTACAGAGCGTTTTGGTGCATTTCTAAAAATATACTGTTTAAAAATTACATAGAAACAATAACTTGGTATATTCTTTCTTTGTAGATTTCAAGATTTGAAAGAAATACAGTTTAGAGAGTTCTGAAGACAGAAACTTTGTGAACTCATAAAACAGGTAATTTCTCTTTCATCTTCTAAAAGAGGAACACATTGTCTACCTATGATGGTACCCTAACCTTACATGCATTATCTCATTTACTTTTTGAATAAACCTCAATGAAGCAGCTATTGTTTTAGACATTTTAACACACAGTACTAACAGTTACTGTTTATTATACATCAGCAATGTGTTAGGTTTTTATTTTCTTGTTCTGTCATGTTAGTACAATCTCTGTAATAACTAGCTAGCCCTGCTCAGTGAAACTCCATAATAAGAAAATGCCCTATGTCTTTATTGGCCTCCTAGCTGTCAATAGACACATGTGGCTTTCAGCATTTGAAATGTGAGAGTTTTAACAGAGGAACTGAGATTGTAATTTTTACTTAATTTGAACCAATTGAAAATTTAATTAATATAGCTGCATGTTCCTATTCATTACTTAGTATGTGCTACCTACATAGGAGAAACTGTTTCAAAGAAGTTATGAAGTTTTTTTGTTTTGTTTTGTTTTTTGGGTCTGGTCTTGGGGCCTGAACTCTGGGCCTGGGTGCTGTCCCTCAGCTCTTCAGCTCAAGGCTAGCGCTCTAGCACTTGAGCCACAGCGCCACTTCCGGCTTTTTTTCTTTTTGCTTATGTGGTGCTGGTGGTGCTTATGTGGTGCTAACCCAGGTCCTCATGCATGCAAAGCAAGCGCTCTACCACTGAGCCACCTTCCCAGCCCAGAAGTTATGAATTATGACCAAGTTTACATAATTTTTGTTGTTGTTGTTGATCGTGGGGCTTGAACTCTGGGCCTGGGTGCTGTCCCTCAGCTCTTCAGCTCAAGGCTGGCTCTCTACCACTTGAGCCACAGCGTCACTTCTGGCTTTCTGAGTGGTTTATTGGAGATAAGAGTCTCATGGAGTTTCCTGCCTGGGCTGGCTTTGAACTGTGATCCTCAGATCTCAGCCTCCTGAGTAGCTAGGATTATAGGCATGTGTCACCAACGCCCTGCTACATTATTTTATTTAAAAAAAATTTTTTTTTGGTCAGTCATGGGGCTTGAACTCTGGGCCTGGGTGCTGTCCCTCAGCTCTTTAGCTCAAGGCTAGAGCCCTACCACTTGAGTCACAGCACCACTTCCCAGCTTTTTTCTGCTTATGTGGTGCTGAGGAATAGAACCCAGGGCCTCATGCATGCAAGGCAAGCACTCTGCCACTGAGCCACCTTCCCAGCCCCTAAAAAAAAGTTTTAAAACCAGATAACTTGAGAGAATTGATGGAATAACAAGAGATGGGGAGAATGATGGAAGGGAGGATATTGATCAAGATGCATTGTACTCATAAAACTGACATGTTAAATTGAAAAGCCTTTGGACAAGATTTAAATGATAATTTAAAAAGAAAAATAAAGTTGTTATTATTATTATTTTTGACCAGTCATGGGGCCTGAACTCTGGGCCTGGGCACTGTCCCTCAGCTCTTCAGCTCAAGGCTAGGACTCTACCACTTTGAGCCACAGAACCACTTCGGCTTTTTCTGCTTATGTGGTGCTGAGGAATTGAACCCACGGTCTCATGCATGCAAGGCAAACACTCTGCCACTGAGCCACCTTCCCAGCCCTAAAATAATTTGTTTTTTATCCGAGGATTGTCTTAGAAATGTTAACTTAGCAATGAAGATAGCCTAGCTGAGGGGAAATGAAGCAGGCCAACAGAGCTGAGAGTCTGAATTATAATGAGAATCTGAATTAAATGTACAGTTGGAGGAATGATAATCTTAAGCAAGTTATAGAAATAGGAGTGCCATTATCACTTGGTGTAGCTTATGAGGGCTCTGAAGAAAGTCAGTTTCTCTGCATAGCTGCAAAACCCAGGGAAGAAAATAACACTGTATTCTACAGTAAACAAAAACAGAACAAAGCAAAAACGATCAATAATGAGAGTTAAAGAGGGTTTAGTTTTGACTGCCTGTTCATTCCATAAATACTGAGTGACTCTGCTAAGTATAGTCAGCAAAGGCTTTATCTACTGGAGACACCCTTCTAAATTTTCCTACTGTAAAAGAAAAGATTTGCAACAGATGAACAAGTCAAGTATTCTCAGAAGAATAGACGCTTACTTCCAGATAGGGATGAGGGAAAGTTGTTGGTCCAAGAGAATGATTGAGGTCTGTTTTGAATAGGAATGATCTATATGTGTAAAAAGATAAATTGGAGCAGAAGTAATACTTCTACCAGTGGGATGGACAAAATATTTTGAAATCCTTTTTGCCAAAACATCCAAATACTGAATAAGTAATAGTTTTATCCTTGTAAATAAATGCATATCAGATCTTACACAGAAATAAAGGGAAATCCTCAAGGCTGAAAAGTAATACAGAGCTGAAGATAGAGTAGCAAGTATGTTTTCTCTGGGGTCATTTGGTTGATAGAATGAAGCACAAGGAAGACCATGAGATAGGCTTCCTACGGTCATACCAGCGTAGGCAGATAGCACGCCTACCCATGTGACCTCAAGTATACAACTTCAACAGACACTCTTCATATGGTAGTTTGTGCAAATGGTATCTATACTTCAGTGGGTGACATTTTTAGAAAGTAAAATGTAAAATTTTCCACTTAAAATTATATAACTCTTGGCCTTGGAAAACCACTTCTTCCCAAATTTAGTCAGGATCTCAGAAGTCTACACATTCAGTGAAAGGTAAGACAGAAGTATATTTCCCTCCTGGCACACAGGATGGTCAAGAAGAAATTTGTCTATTTTCACCACAGTTCTAGGTGGGAGAAGAAAGATACCACTTGGGTACTTGAAGCTGTAGTGTCTGCAATCACTCAGGTTCAAGGTTCAAGTTTACATTCTACATGATTGGAAAAACTGACAGCCAAAAAATTAATACAAAGTTGGCTCCTGTTAGTAATGTGCCAAGGTACTTGCAAAAGGACATATAGATGCTCCCTAATTTACCCTCAATTAAGTCTTTTTTAATGCTCTCAGATTAAGCTCTTCTAAATTCAGACATCTTTTTGGAAACCATAAAGTACATGCAAGAATGGGCTGAACCAATGAATATGGAGACAGGAAGTGAGAATTGCTGGAAACAGAAATTAAAATAGCACCTAAAGAGATTAGAGAAGAAAGATGAAAGACTTTGGACATGACTAAAAATTTGTACAAATTGAGGATTATTTTTCCAGTAACTGCTGCTGGAAAAAATACCGATGGGTGCTTGTGTTCAATTAACTAAGTCGAGGAAGAAAATGAATAATTGATGGGCTGGTAAGGGCTGACAAGAAAAAGAAGTAGAAAGAGGAGATCATGGTAACCTAGCAGGAAGATCCTCAAATCACGCCTATCATGGTGATTTTAGGGACAAAAGAAAAACTTACAGAGCAAGATGAAAATGTCCTTATTGAGCAAGAAGTCAAATGATTAGCGCACATGACAAGTGAAAACTGTCTGAGAATTCATTTTTTAGAAAGTCCATCTGACATGAGGAAGTTGAGAACCATCAACTGTAGAGAAGAGAAGTGCTAAGGATATTTATGGAGTTCGTGAAGATAACTAAAATTTTTAGGCCATCAAGCTATGAGGAAAAATTTCTTGTAGTTTGAACAGTTTTTTTTGGTATGTGTTTGCTTGTTTTTCTGTGCCAGTACTGGGGCCTGAAGGCAGAGCCAGGACATTGTGCCTTAGTTTTTCATTTAAGGCTGGCACTCTACTACTTGAACCATAGGTATACTTGTGGTTTTTGTTGTTGTTATTGATGAATTGGTTTCAAGGCTTGATCCTCAGATCCTCTTGAGTAGCTAGGATTATAGGCATGAGTCATTGGTTCTCAGTTAAAACTATTTCTGTATTTAAAAAAATTTAAATAAATGTATTAAGATGTAATGGTTTTTAATATACATTATTACTACTATTTTTAGTTTGATTTTGTGCTGCTGGAGATGGAACCCAGGGTCTTACACATGCTAGGCAAGTGCACAACCACTGAGCCACACTCTTAGCACTCAGATCGCATGATTACATAATTATTACATAATAGCTACAGCTATTTGAGTGAATTTAAGACAGAAAGAAATGTGTGATATATATGTATTTAGGCCCTTTCCCTACTGACATTTTTAGGTAGGTCCTGGATCACTATTCAAACCCTAAGAGGCCAAGCCCCTAAGGGCCTTAAGCATTTCTATATTTTAGTATTAATGAGGACCAATTATCCTGATGATGCAGATGACCATATATTTAACATTATGGCAAAGACCATTTAGAAAGTTATGAAAATAATCTGGTTAAAAATGATGATTAGTTGGAGCTGGGAAGGTGGCTCAGTGGTAGTGTGCTTGCCTTGCATGTGTGAGGCCCTGGGTTTGATTCCTCAGCACCACATAAGCAGAAAACGCCAGAAGTGGCACTGTGGCTCAAGTGGCAGAGCACTAGCCTTGAGCTGAAGAGTTCAGAGATAGCATCCAGGCCCAGAGTTCAGGCCCCCAACCGACAACAAAAAAAAAAAAAGAAGAAGAAAGAAAGAAAGAAAATGATGATATTTTAGATAGATTAGTGGCAATGAAGATTGAGAAAAGAGGTAGATTGGAAATTGAGGCGAATAAACAGTATTGGTACTTGGTCATTTGTGGGAAAGACAGAAAGGTTTTTCTGTGGCTAGTGCGTGAATGAATCTTTGTTTATTTACTGAAAAGCAAGAATTGGGTTGGCATGAGGGATGCTTTCAGAAAGGAAGCAGGTCTGGGTGATAAGTACAAGGCTCTAGGAGTGGATGGCTAATGTAGAATGGAGGAAACTTATTAATAAATTATTGTGTCTATTTTTTTTTCTCTTTCAGAAGACCTGTTTGAAATGTGGTGGTTTCAGCAAGGCCTCTGTTTTTTCCCTTCTGCCCTTGTAATTTGGACATCCACTACTTTCATATTTTCCTACATTACTGCTATAACTCTCCACCATGTCGACCCCATTTTGCCTTTTATCAGGTCAGTGAAATATATTTGTAAGAGAATCTGTATGGCTGGGAATGTGGCTTAGTGTAGTGTGCTTACCTAGCATGCATTAAGCCCTGGGTTTGACATATAGATAGAAAAAGCCAGAAGTAGCATTGTAGTTCAAGTGGCAGAGTACTAGCCTTGAGCACAGAGAGGCTCAGAGACAATGCCCAGGACCTGAGTTCAAGCCCCAGGACTGGGAAAAAATAAAATAAAAATTCATAAGCTGGGTGCTGGTGGCTGTAATCCTAACTACTCAGGAGGCTGAGATCTGAGGATCACAGTTCAAAGCCAGCTTGGGCAGAAAAGTCTCCATGAGACTCTTATCTCCAACTAACCACTCAAAAATGGGAAGTGGAGCTGTGGCTCAAGTGGTAGAGTGCTAGCGTTGAGCACAAAGAGACTTAGGGACAGTGTACAGGCCCTGAGTTCAAGTTGCACACCCAACAACAACAAAAAAGGAGAATCTGTACGATTCATTCATAGCTTATGTTGAGGCTGACATTTTATGACAGTGTTTTAAAATTCCGATTTCTATGTTGGCATTTCAACAATAAAAGGGAATATAAATTATAGCTTTTAGTTAATTCCTTCTCTATGATACAGTATTGTGGAGACAAACCAGGGACCAGTGGCTCATGCCTGTAATCCTAGCTACCCAGGAGGCTGAGATCTGAGAATTATGATTTGAAGCCAACCTGGGCAGAAAAGTTAGTGAGACTCTTAACTCCAATAATCACCAAAACACACAAGTGGAGCTGTGGCTTAAGAGGTAGAACATTGGACTTAAGTGAAAAAGCTAATGGACAGCACCTGACCCTGAGTTCAAGTTCCAGTACTAGCACACACACACAAAAAGTATGGAGACAGAAATATGATACAGTTAATGAACTGCTTAGTTGTCATTCTTTAGTTCTTTGTCTTCCAAAGAAGTATTTGATGTTTCCTCAGAACAAAAAAAATTGAAATTATTTTCCCCTTAAAATAAAAAAAAATTGTAAACAACAATAGTTGTTTTCCAATGATGGTTGGAAAAGATAATAGTATCAACAGGTTTATTGATCTACTTAATGTATTCAAAGCAATGTTCTAGGTAGATAACCAAATCCTTACAGCATTCATAGGAGGTAGGGATTGTTCTCGTTATGTTACTTAGCTCTCTGTTACTATAACAAATATCTGAGATAATTAGCTTTTAAAGAAAAAAGGTTTATTTTGGCTCACAGTTTGAGAGGTTTCAGTCCCTGATCAATTTGAACTGTTGCTTTTGGCCTATGACTAAGCAGCTTGTCATGCAGTAGCATGGAAGCAGTAGGGAAGTAAAACTTTTGTTCATGACCTAGAATCAGAAAAGAGTAAGGAAAGGGTGATAATTCCCTTCAGGAGCATGCTTCTAATACCTAAAGGCCCTCTCACAAAACCCTACCTCTTAATGGTCCACAACTTCCAGGTGCCTCTCTGGGGATCAGACCTCTAAAACATGGAACGCTGGGGGCCATTCAATATCTAAACTATAGCAGAAGAAATGAGAGTCCAGGGTGACTAAGTGATTTCTCTAAAATACAGTGATTCAGTAGGTGTTGAAATCAAGATACAAACCTGGGCTTTTTGGCTGTGCTTTAGGGGCTGTGCTCTTTATGACATGCTGGTTAGATATTTCTAACACATTAAGTATTAACAGTTAATTTTGCATAAATATACAAAGACATACATACATAGATACTAATACACATAATACATACTATATATTAATGTAGATTGCACATTTATAAATCTATCAACTATCTATATATCTGTCTACTTATTTTTGTTGGTTGTGGGGCTTCAACTCAGGGCCTGGATGCTGTCCTTGAGCATTTTCACTCAAGGCTAGTGCTCTTCCACTTTAAGACACTTCTGGTTTTCTGGTGGTTAATTACAGATAAGTGTCTCATGGACTTTCCTACCTAGGCTGGCTTTGAACTGCAGTCCTCAGATCTTAGCCTCTTGAGTGGGTTGGATTATAGTCAAGGAAAATATTACACATTTTTATGTTGATTTGTATTATGTAATAATCTTAAGTGATAGGAAAAAGTGAGGTAGGTAAATATTTTTAGGGACTTATTATTCTTGTCTCTTTATAAATTAATGTAGGAGTGGAGCTCATGAGATTTTTTTTTTCTGGTCCTGGAACTTGAACTCAGATCCTGGACACTGTCCATGAGTTTTTGTACTCATGGCTAGTTTTCTATCACTTGAGCCACAGCTTCACTTCTGAATTTTTGGTGGTTAATTGGAGATAAAGAGTCTTATGAATTTCCCTGCCTGGGCTGGCTTTGAACCTGATCTTTGGATCTTAGCCTCCTGGGTAGCTAGGATTACAAGTATGACCAGCTCCTGGGCTTACCCATGGGCTTTTAAATGAGAAAGATGTGAAATAATTCCTATTATCTAATGTGAGAAATCTGCATACTTTCTTTTTACCTTTCAGTGACACAGGAACAATAGCTCCAGAAAAATGCTTATTTGGGGCAATGCTAAATATTTCTGCAGGCTTATGTAAGTATTAATCAAAATTAATAGCTGAATTTTATTTTTTAACTATTATTATGCATCTTTCTAGTAATATTTGAAAAAATGCTATCACTCAATAATTCATCACAGTTATACTCCTTGTAAGGGAAAAAGGATTTGTACAAATGCCAAATTATGAAAGTAAATCTAGAAGAATATCTGTAAGGGTTATTTGGCTACTTACCAAGTAGAAGTTCTAAGGAGAACCAAATATTCCATGAGGCCTTAGCTAGACTTCTTCAACAAACATTAGGGACACAAACTATTGATAAAATTGATCAGATCCAAGTTCCTTTGGAAATAAACAATTCAGAAATGTATGAACAGAGATGGAACTATGTTTTTATTTTTACTTACTTATTTGTGTATTTTTTGCCAGTCCTGGGGCTTGACTTCAGGGCTTGGGCACTGTCCCTAAGCTTCTTTTGCTCAAGGCCAGCACTCTACCACTTGAGCCACAATGCCAATTCTGGCTTTTTCTGTTTATGTGGAACTGAGGAATTGAACCCAGGACGTCATGCATCTAGCAAGCATTCTACACTAATCCACATTCCTATCCCCTGTTTTGATTTTCTAAGTGATATTCTAGTGCCAAAGAAATGTTCTGTAGTGTTTTACATTACTGTGTGTGAACCAAAGCTTTATAGCTAAAATATTTTCATCCAATGTGATTGTTTTAGGTATTAATTATTTGCACCAAAAGGAAATAGGAAAACAATACAAATTACAGAAAGTTTGTATCTAATTTACATATCAAGTTTATATGTATAATATCTGATATATAATTTATTTATATGTAAGTTCTTCAGATATATCTGTATTATATTTTCTATACTTGTAATACTTTGTATACTTTGGCACTGTTTCTGCAGTAGAAGGTTTAGAAGTTTGATTCTGCATTTTCTTGAAAAATAAGTATGGCAAATGGGCTTTATTGTTTTGTGCAATGGACTGTGTATCTGATTGAGCCAAGTTGTAATAATTTGAAATGATATGAAAGTAAGGCAGATAAGCTTCTTTTTGCTTATGTACTTTTCATCTACATTCTAGAACTAGTTATTTTTTATGCAGATGAAAAAAAGAATTTGTGTGTTTTGTAACTTTTTTTGTGTGTGTGCCAGTACTGGGGCATAAATTCAGAGTTTGGATGATGTTCTTTACCTTTTTCTCTTAAGGCTGATTCTCTGCTACTTGAGCTACTTGAGCTTTCCCACTTCTGGCTTTTTGGTGGTTAATTAGAGATAACAGTCTCACACACTACCCTGCGTGGGCTGGCTTCCAACCTTGATCCTCAGAACTCAGTCTCCTGAGTAACTAGAATTATAGGAGTGAGCTACTGGTGCCAGGCTATGTAACTCTTTTTTTTTTTGGTCCGGTCATGGGGCCTGAACTCTGTGCCTGGGCGCTGTCCCTGATCTCTTCAGCTCAAGGCTAGCGCTCTACCACTTGAGCCACAGTGCCACTTCCTGATTTTTTTCTTTCTTTGCTTATGTGGTGCTGAGAAATCGAACCCAGGGCCTCATGCATGCAAGGCAAGCGCTCTACCACTGAGCCACCTTCCCAGCCCTGTAACTCTTATTGTGAGAAATTTTCAGAGAAATTTCTCTTAAAACTTTTTACTAAATATTTATAGATATGAGGCCCATAGAGGTCAGATGAGTTTCTCAGATACATAACAGATGTTCTATGATGCAACCTTAAAATCTATTTTTTTTGTGTGTGTATTGTTCTCTCACATGACTTTAAAAAGAAAAAAATCCTGGGATCTGGATAGAAGTGTTGTTTGTGAACTCTGCATTGGCAACTGTGTTGTTTTTCTGATTATCTCTTCCCAGACATTGCTACCATTTATGTTCGTTATAAGCAAGTTCATGCCCTAAATCCTGAAGAAAACCTTATCATCAAATTAAACAAGGCTGGCCTTGTACTTGGAATGCTGAGTTGTTTAGGACTTTCTATTGTGGCAAATTTCCAGGTTTGTGTTTTAACCTACTGTAGGTATTTTTCTGTGTTAAAAAGGAAACCTGAATGTTAATGTTTAACATTTCCTGCTATTAACCTGGTAAGAAAATCTTAAAGGTTTACCTGCTGTTAATGTTCTTTTTACCTTTACTTTAACAAAATGGCATTTTACTGCCTTTGGTATTTTTGGACTTTTTTAGAACTACTTTGACAACTAGAAAATTTCATATTTAATAATCAAAAAAAACAAATCATTATAATTTTTTCTCTGGGATCCACAAGACAGTAGTTGGAGGTAATTTCAAGATTAAAAAAAACAAACACAAACATTACAATAAAAATCTCTTATTTCCATTTCTTGGAGTTCATTTCAATAAGCATCATTTTATATGATCATATATACATAGCTATTGAGTCCTTGTGATCCTCTCCTAAGAATATCCTCCTTTGGTCTCACTGTGAATGTTTAGAGTCCAGTTTAACTTATCTTGTGCAAGTATAATTTTTTGTCTTTCATTATCCATTTTTTTCACTATCCATTTTTTACTTGTAGATTCATAGGCACATTCTAATTATTACAAATGAGGGAAACTGTGCAACTTACATTTCTTAGGGTCTGGCTTCATTTAATATAATTTTTTATAAGTCTCAAAGAATTTTTAATGCTTTTGATTAGTTTTGGCTACTTTTTGTAGATTTTTTTTTCTTTTCTAAACTAGGGCCAGGGCTTTTATGTTTGTCAGGCAGGCACTTTTGAGATAAGCCCCTAGTCCTGTCCCTGGGTTAGTTTAAACTTAAGATACTCTTGTATCAGCTCCCCTACTTTCTGGGATTATAGGCATGCCTCACCATGCCCAATCTTTTTATTTTTTTTTTAATTAATGGTTAGCACTACAGATGAATATCTTTTATCTGAACTGCTTGGGACCAGAGAGTTCAGATTTCAGAGTTTTACAAATGTCTAGAGAATATCATGTCCCATTGTATTTTATATCTAGCTTCTGCACAGGAAAGAAAACAATGCCATTTCTGTCTCTGAGCTTGGCTTACCTCGCTCAACATGATCTGTTCTAGGTCCACCCATTTCCCTGCAAAGGACATGATTCCATTCTTTCTAATGGCTATGTAAAATTCCATTGTGTATAGGTACCACTTTTTCTTTTTTTGATTCACTCATGTATTGTAGAACATCTGGGCTGTTTCCATAACTTGGCTATTGCAGCAATGAGCATGAATGTGCAAATGTCCTTATGGTACCCTAGCTTGTGATGTTCTGGGAAGATGCCTAGGAGTGGTATGACTGGGTTGTAGCTCAGTGCTGTGTTTCAGTTTTTAAGGAACTCCAGGCTGCTGTCCAGAGTGGGTGTACTAGTTTACATTTCACCAACAGTACAGTAGAATTCTTTTTTTCTCACTTCCCTGCCATCATTTTTTTTTTTGTTTGTTTGAATTCATGACCATTGGCCAATCTAAGTGGGGTGAGATAGAATCTCAGAGTTGTTTTGATTTGCATGTCCTCTATGGCCAGGGTTATTGAGCATTTCCTCATCTGTTTCTTTGTCTTTCTTACCTCTTCTTCTGAGAAGACTCTCCTTAAGCTCCTTTGCCCATTCAGTGATTGGTTTATTAGTTTGGAGAGGGATTAATTTCTTGTACTCTTTGTATATTTGGGATAGTAGGCCTTTGTCAGATGTATTGGTGGTAAAGCTGTTTCCCCAGTCTGTTGGCTGGCTTTCTCATTAGGTAATTATATATCCTTTGCTGTACAGAAGCATTTTATTTTGACATAATCCCATTTGTCGAGTCTTTCTTCTACCAGCTGTGACCCTAGAACTCTTTTCAAAAAGTTTCTGCTTATGACTTTTAAGTTCTAGTATTTCTCCTACTCCTTGTTGCAGTAATTTCGAAGTCTGGTCTGATGTTGAAGTCTTTAACCCACTTTGCGATGATATTAGTGCATGGTAACAAGTAAGGATCTACTTTTAGTTTTCTGCATATGGATACCCAGTTTTCCCAAGAGGCTACTTTTTTTCCTGTGTCTTTGGCTTCGTTATCAAATGTCAGATAACTGTAAGTATATAGTTTTGTTTCAAGTGTTCTACTCTGTCCATTCCTCTTCGTGTCTATTTTTATGCCAATACCAACCTGATTTTTTGTTATTATAGATTAGTATTAGAGGTTCAGGTCTATTTCAACTCTAAAAAAATAAATTTCTAGGGGCTGGGAAGGTGGCTCAGTGGTAGAAAGCTTGCCTTGCATGCATGAGGCCCTGGGTTCGATTCCTCAGCACCACAAAAGCAGGAAAAAAAAGCTGGAAGTGACACTGTGGCTCAAGTGGTAGAGCGCTAGCCTTGAGCTGAAATGCTGAGGGACAGTGCCCAGGCCCAGTGGGTCCTGACAGTGGTCAGGCCCACGACCGGACCAAAAAAAAATAAAATAAAATAAATTTCTAGTTACTGAGGAGGCTGAGATTTTAGGATTGAGGTTCAGCCTTCTAAGTAGCTAGGATTATAGGTATGAGCCCCTGGTGCTCAGATGAAAACTTTTTAATTATAGAATTTTGGAGAGAACCTTTTGTCACTTTTAAGCAGAAGTTATCTGTCTGTCTCTATATCTATCTGATCCATCAAATGTTAGAACGTAAAAATAAGTAGACACCTGTAAGACAAAGAAGAAAAGATAATCTCTTCTGTATAATCTAAACCAAACCAGTACAAGAAGGCCTTAAATGACATTGAAATTTAAGTTAGACTTAAATTGAAATTCCCTATTCTAGTGCTGTGCTTACCTTATACTACTCTTTTTCTATTACCCTATCACCATGTTGCATACTGGAGATTTTCCTTATTTTTAAAGCTCATTTTTATTGTTTATGAATTTTAGCTAGAATGTAAATTCTGACGGCTAGGTTTCTGTCATATATCAGAAGACTTATAGCAATGCTTGACACCTACTAATCACCATCCAAACATTATTTTTTTTGATTGTGAAAATACCATACAGATGGGTTACAATTACATGGGCAAGATAGTGAGTACATTTCTTGTCAAGCATTGTAGCCTCCTCCTTTGTTTCCCCTTCTCATCCCTTCTCCTCTCCACCCCGCCGTGCCCCCAAGTCTCCCCCATCCCTATTGCCCCCTCCCGCCAAAGTTGTAAAGTTCGTTTTTCGACATAACGTCTTGCACATCTCATTGTTGTAATGGGTCCACGTCTAACCCTGTTTAAACAATTTGTTTTTTCCCTTCCCCTCTACAAATTACACCAACATCAAGTACGGTGAAAGCAGGGCTTATACCATGGGGGAGGTACATACAAAGCAACAAAGAAATCATCTTATAAATATGTTGGAAACAATCGCAAGAAAGAAAAAAACATTTGAATCCTTATCTTGGGGTTCATTTCGCCTAACATCAACTTGTCTGACAGTTTCTGTTTGTCTCAGACATATACTAGTTATTGCAAATAAGGAAAACCATGGGACCTATGTTTCCTTGGACATGGCTTACTTCATTTAATATAATTTTTTCCAAGTCTTTCCATTTCCTAACATATGGGGCAATGTCATTCTTTCTGATGGAGGCAGAGAATTCCATTGTGTATATATATATACCACATTTTCTTGATCCATTCATCTACAGAGGGGCATCTGGGTTGGTTTCATATCTTAGCTATGGTAAATAAACATAATTGTGCTGGTAGCTTTAGTGTGGTCTTGTTTATGATCATTTGGGTAAATGCCCAAAAGTGGGATTGCTGGGTCATAGGGAGCTCTACATGGAGTATTTTGAGGAACTTCCAGAGTACTTTCCAAAGTGCTTGAACAAGTTTACACTTGTTCACAAGTTTACACAAGTTTGCAGTAGGGTTCCCTTCTGTCCACATCCCCTCCAGCATCTGTTGTTATTAGAGTTCTTGATTATAGCCATTCTAACTGGGGTGAGGTGGAATCTCCATGTTGTTTTGATTTGTATTTCTTTTATGGCTAGAGAGCATTTCTTCATGTGTCTATTGGCCATCCTTCTTTCCTCTTCAGAGAAGTTTCTCTTTAAGTCTTTAGCCCACTTATTTATTGGGCAGTTGTTTCTTTGAGGATTTGTTGTTGGGGGATTTAATTTTTTGAGTTCCAGGTATATTTTAGATATGAGACCCTTGTCCATTGTATGGCTAGTGAAGATCTTCTCCCAATCCATGGGCTTTCTATTGATATTGCTAGCTATGTCCTTTGCCATGCAGAAGCTCTGCAATTTCATGCAATCCCATTTGTCTAACCTTTCTTTGATTTGTTGTGTTTCCGGGTCTCTATTAAGAAAATTTCGGCCTGTGCCAGGGAGGGTTTCTCCTATTCCATCCTGTAATGTTTTCAGAGTGTCTGCTTTTACTTTGAGGTCTTTGGTCCATTTGGAGTTGATGCTTGTGCAGGGTGATATAGAAGGATCTAGCTTTAGTTTCTACAAGTTATTAACCAATTTTGCCAGCACCATTTACTGAAGAGGCTTTCTTCCATTCTATTTTTTTTTTTTTTTTTAGCTCCCTTATTGAAGATGAGATGGCTATATGTCTGTGGGTTCATTTCTGGGTTTTTAATTCTATTCCATTGGTCCTGAGGTCTGTTCTTGTGCCAGTACCAAGCTGTTTTGATTACTATGGCTTTGTAGTAGAGTTTGAAATTTGGTATTGATAGTCCTCCAACACTGTTCTTTCTGTTAAGGATCATTTTTGCTATTCCGGGTCTTTTATTGTTCCATATAAATTTTTGGATTGCCTCTTCTATTTCCTTGAAGAATGAGGCTGGAATATTGATAGGTATCACATTGAATTTGTAGATAGCCTTGGGAAGTATTGTCATTTTCACGATGTTGATCCTTCCAATCCAGGAGCGTGGGAGTTTTTGCCACTTTCTAAGTTCTGTTTTGATTTCCATTTTCAGGTTTTTAAAGTTTTCATCATAGAGGTCCTTCACTTCTTTGGTTAAGTTAATTCCTAGGTATTTTATTTTTTGTGGGGCTATTACGAATGGAGTTGCTTTCCTGATTTAAGCCACACTTTTCTCATTGTTGGCATACAGAAAAGCCATTGATTTTTGAGGGTTAATTTTATACCCTGTTATTTTGCCAAAGTTTTGAATCAGCTTGAGTAATTTTGGGAGTGGAGTCTGTGGGATTCTTTAGATACAAAATCATGTCATCTGCAAAGAGGGAGAGTTTTACTTCATCTTTCCCTATTTGGATGCCTTTTATGTTTGCATCTTGTCTTATTGCTGTAGCTAGGCATTCTAATACTAAATTGAAGAGAAGTGGAGAGAGTTGACATCCTTGTCTCGTTCCTGAGTTAAGAGGCAATGGCTTAGTTTTTCACCATTAAGTATAATGCTGGCTATAGACCAAACCATGTATATATTTTTTTTGGGGGGGGGTCCGGTCGTGGGGCCTGAACTCTGGGCCTGGGCGCTGTCCCTCAGCTCTTCAGCTCAAGGCTAGTACTCTACCACTTGAGCCACAGTGCCACTTCTGGCTTTTTTCTTTTTTGTTTATGTGGTGCTGAGGAATCGAACCCAGGGCCTCATGCGTGCAAGGCAAGTGCTCTACCACTGAGCCACCTTCCCAGACCCAAGCCATATTTTTAAGTGAGCAAAATTTTGTTCATTTCCAGTGGTAGAATATTAAATCATTAAGGTTTGCTGTAACTTACAGATTTATGTTGAATACTGTGAGCGAAAATGACTGAAGGAAATAATTTAGAATTTTCTGAGCTCCTTGGCTCAATGAATGCCTTGGCGGGGTGGGGGTGGGGGGTGTCTCTTGCATTTAAATGTATTGGCACGAAGTTGTGACATATTCCTTTTTTCTACTTCTCAGAAAACAACCATTTTTGTTGTACATGAAACTGGAGCTGTGGTTACATTCAGCATGGGCTCGTTGTATATGTTTGTTCAGACCATCCTTTCCTACAAAATGCAGCCCAAAATTCACAGTAAACAAATCTTTTGGATCCGACTACTGCTGGTGATCTGGTGTGGAGTGAGTGCATTGAGCAGTATCCTTCACTGAAAAGTGTGATACAGTTGGAGGGGAATTGAATCATAGAATTTCAGTGAGCACCCTAGTGGGCAGCAGCTTTTGAGGGGTTAGTAATCCTAACCTGAAGGATTTGAAACCTGAAATGCAGATTGAAATGTAGTAAGGGAATCAGGAACAAAGCCAGTATTTAGCCTAATCATATCAGATTCAAAGAAATGAAAGCTGAGTTAATGTCCTTTCTACAAAGTTAGCTAGCCAGAGTCTGTTATGAGAGAATTGTTCATTTTCCAACCAAACTAGTGAGGGATTAGCTGTAAGAACTATTTTTTGGTGATATATTAGGTAGTTGTAGTTTCACTACTGTCATGTGATATTAATTCTTTAAGAAAATGAATGGTTATATATGTCTGAGTTACTCTTTTAGACTTTTCAAAGTGATGTTTTTGTTTTGGTTCTATGGGTTTAAAACTTAACAAATCTCTGAGATTCTTCCTTGACATTTTTCTATAGTGTTGACTAGCTCAGTCATTTTGTACAGTGGTGATTTTGGCATTGATATATATCAGAAACTCCACTGGAATTCAGAGGACAAAGTAAGAACTTGGAGAGTATAAAGCTTAGCTTTGAAGATGATTATTTTGGTTTATTTTGATATGCTTTCATTTTGCTACCAACAGTGAGTCCTTTTTAGTAGAATAACTATGTATTGGGAATATTTTTTAGATAGAGTTTATGTAGAATTTATTCGTATTTTCCTGACACCTGAGAAATGTGGATCTTTTCAGGACATGAAGGGAACAGTTTCCCGGGATGTTGGCTCTCCAGAATATGTATATAGTATACAATACGCCCAACTGAGGTTTTTCTCTTTCTTTTCTTTCTCTCTCTCTCTTTTCTTCCTCTCTCTTTCTCTTCTTTTTTTCATTCTTTCTCTCATTTTTTTAAACCTTCCCTTCCCTTCCTTCCTTTCTTTTCCCTCCTTCCCTGTCTCTCCTTCTAAACACTTGTTTTCATAATTAAAAAGATGTCTCCTCCAAATTCTTATTGTCTAGTATATGTGTGTGTGTGTGTTTGTGTGTGTGTGTATACACTAAGTGATAAAGCACGTTTATCTGTTTTCACAAACTGATATTTTATTCCCAAGCTGATATTTATTTAGTTTTATTTTAAACCATTTATTTTTAGAATTTGCCCTAGGATTAGCTTTTAAAACTGAATGAAATAACTTATTAGATTCTCCTAATTATAAAGTACATATTTAAAATTCTACGAATAGACCTTATTAAAAGTTTATGGAGAACATTCCTAATCTTAGTTCCATGATTCTGTTATGCTTTAGTTATTTAGGTGTAAGTTTCATTTGTTGTAAGTAAAATTAAAATATTTAATGTCTGCTCTTTAGTTCTCAAGGTATTTCCAATAGATCAGAAGGTGGATTGGTCTTTTAAAATTTTTTTTTTTTTTTGTCAGTCGTGGGGCTTGAACTCTGGGCTTGGGTGCTGTCCCTCAGCTCTTCAGCTCAAGGGGAGCGCTCTACCATTTGAGCTACAGCGCCACTTCCGGTTTTCTGGTGGTTTATTGGAGATAGGAGTCTCACGTTCTTTCCTGCCCGGGCTGGCTTTGAACCGCAATCCTCAGATCTCAGCCTCCTGAGTAGCTAGGATTACAGGCGTGAGCCACCAGCGCCCGGCGGTCTTTTAAAATTTTGTGCGTGCATGCGTGTGTGCGTGTGCGTGTGTGTGTGTGTATCAGTTCTAGGGCTTGAATTCAGAGCCTGGATGATGTCTCTGAGTTTCTTTTGCTAAAGGCTAGTGCTCTACACTTGAGCCACAGCACTACTTTTTGGTAGTTTTGTGGAGATAAAAGTCTCACAGACTTTCCTGCCTGGGCTGGCTTTGAACCATGATGCTCAGATCTCAGCCTCCTGAGTAGCTAGGCATGAGCCACCAATACCTGGTGAGAATTTGAATTTTTTAATTTAAAGAGTATTATGAATTATTTCAATAAAATTTTACAAAACTATGCTTTTTTTTTTCTGTCACTCAAGGGTTATGTACTTCACTTGGTTACTACAGCAGCAGAATGGTCTATGTCATTTTCCTTCTTGGGCTTTTTTCTGACATATGTTCGTGATTTTCAGGTAAGAAAACAGTATTCAGTATATACAGTCTAACTTGTTTCAAGTGGAATAACAGAACATTCCATTGTGTCTAATTTTTTTAACAATTAACTTTAAAATTTGACACCACAGTCATAAACCATAAACATTGATAGATGCAAGAATAACTTTTCCGTTGAAATGGTTCCTGAGTTGGGGGAAGTAGTAGATTGCTATATTTCCATATACTCAGTTGTGAAAACATTTCATAGCTGGGTGCTGGTGGCTTATGCCTGTAATCATAGCTACTTCAGAAGGTTGAGATCTGAGAATCACAGATCAAAACCAGCCCAGGCAGGAAAGTCTATGAGACTCTCATCTCCAGTTAATCACTACAAAAATCCAAAAGTGGAGCTGTGGCTCAAGTGGTAGAGTGCTGGTCTTGAGCAAAAATGCTTAGGGACGGTGCCCAGGTCCTGAGTTCCAGTCCCAAGACTGGTGCACATGCACACATGCATACACACGTGCGTGTGCACACACACAGGTGAAGAAATTCTTTCATTGAATTTTTGTAATCTGTGTACATTTACATAGGCTACCTTAAATATTTAGTTTTACTAACTTTTCATTTAAAAAAAACACAAAGAAAAATGGAGAAAGAAAAATGGAGAACTTTCTAAATAGAGAACATTGTTTTTCTTTACATTTGGTCCTGAGGATGATACCTTTGGTGATGCAGTAGCTCTCTTGCTAGCTGTTAGATGAATGTTTATTTCTAATCACATAGGATAGTCTAAAGAGTAACTTTACCCAGATCATCTCTCTTCAAGGAATAAACTTCCCTATATAATTTTCTTTTCTATTCCAGAAAATTTCTTTACGAGTGGAAGCCAATTTACATGGATTAACCCTCTATGACACTGCCCCGTGCCCTGTTGCCAATGAACGAACACCACTACTTTCCAGAAATTTTTGAGGAGAGGATAAAGTATTTCTGTGGTGATCATGATTCTCAGGGATTGGGAAAAGGTTATTGCACTCTGGAAATTTCAACCACTTAATTAAGGTAGACAGTGGCATTGATGAATATTTATGATCAAGAGACATGAAATAAGCCATTTGATTAATTATCTTAAAGGATATCATCAAGCCAGGCTCTGGTGGCTTACGAGGTTGATATCTGAGGATTATGATTCAAAGCCTGCATGAGCAGGAAAAGCCATAGACTCTTAACTCTAATCAAGCCCGAGATAGAGCTATGGTTCAAGTGATAGAGGGCTCTATCCTTGAGGGGAAAAAAAAAAACCAAAAAACTCAGGGACAGCACTTAGGCCCTAAGTTCAAGACCCCAGGCCCAGCCTAAAGAAAAAAAAAGACCCATATCATCAAGAAGCCTATTTAAAAACATTTACACCTATACTTTTTTAAAATCTCAAAATAAAACCAAAGAACTACAACATTGTAAGTTTTTTTTCCTACTTTAAGAGAAATATCTGAAGTATATCAAGCAGTCTGGACAGCTCACCTTACACATTTTGTAATGCATTGTAAAAGCATCTTTTGTTAAGAGCACTTAGATGAGAGAAATTTCCATGACCCCAAATCATCAGTTTTTGTCAGCAATTAATTTTGAAGGTGGAATTTTAACATGTGAAAAGATTTTTAATAGTATTAAGTGTCTCTCCACCCCAATCTATTATTAAATGGGAGCAGACCTAAATTCATGTGAGTTCTTCTAATAGCTTAAACTTTGTACAAGAGAGGTGCCAGTTACTATGCTAACTAATTTATCAATTATGTATAGCTGATAGACCAGTACTGAGCTAACTGATCTTATTAGATATCTGTCTGGTATGAGGATTTTCATTTCTAGTGAAAGATGTTAATTTACTCCCATCTTTCTTTTTACATGAAATAAGGGTTAATATTTATAAACACAGCTGAAAAATTAGTGAAGAACAACAAATATGGTAATACCAAATAAAAATAACACCAAACTGTAGTCAAGAAGCTTTCAGAAATAATTTCTAATAAAAGTATTCTTGAGCAGATAAATGAACCTTTTAATGGAATGTGATCTTTTTAGAACCCAGATTCTGAAGAACAAAACCAAGAACCCAAATTCTGAAGAACAAAACAAAACAAAAAAAAACCCCTACATCCAAGGGAATAGTGAATCCTCTATGTAGCAAAACAGTTTTCTTGCCATGTGCTATACTAGTGGCTCACACCTGTAATTCTAGCTACTCAAGGTTTGAGGCCAGCATGGGCAAAAACCTCTAGATTCTAATCTCCATTTAGCCAGCAAAAAGCTAATCTTGAGATATGGCTCATGTATAGAATGCCAGCAATTGAGCAAAAAGCCAACAGAGAGCTTGACACCCTGAGTTTGAGCCCAGTACCAGGACAAAAGACAAACAAAATGCCATTTTGCTTTCTTTTTCTCTTAAGGTGCAAATTGATTGTATAATTTTTCCTTGGATCGCTTTGTAAATGAAGAATGTTTCATAGATCTTTAATAAGATTAAAAGGAAGAAATGTTCATCTGGAAATACCCTGTGGCAAACTGGTCTGTAAACAAGGTTTATAGTTTTAGAGAATATATTGAAAGGGTAGAAGAAAAGATGTTGAGGAAAATAATTAAAAATGTAAGGAACAGCTGGGAACCAGTGGCTCACACCTATAATCCAAGCTACTCGGGAGGCTGAGATTAGAGGATCATGGTTCTTAGCCCGGGCAGGAAAGTTTGTGAGATTCTTTTTTCCGATAAACTACCCAGAAAAAGCTGAAAATGGTGCTATGGCTAGCCTTGAGCACAGAGAGGCTCAGGGACAGAGCCCAGGCCCTGAGTTCAAGCCTCAGGACTCAAACACAAAAAAAGTAAGGAACAATTTAAGGGAAAATACTGAACTGATGGGTCTGAGTACTTAGAAGTAAGTACACAGTATTTCCAAAGAAATATTTTGTGCTAATTAGGTAGAAAATGGAGAGGAATACTGTTTCCCAATATCAAGCAGCAGTGAACACAGGATATAGTTTAGCAAGTGTTGATTGAATCCTGGCATCACTCAGAACACAGTTGGATGCATAATAGGAACAAAAACATGTCTTTGTAGATCATGGTGCAGCCATACCTGGAAGGGTCATCCAGTTCTGATGTCGAGGAAATTAATTCATATGATGAAACATCCATAGTATGGTGAGAAGCAAATTAAATCGAAGTGTTTAAAACTGCAAATTATGTGTGTGTGTGGCACAGGGAAAAGCCATTGACTTATTAGAATTACTTATTCCTAAATTAGGTATTACCGTCCATTAAAAAGCATTGTATTTGGTGGTGCTGGGGTTTGAACTCAAAGCCCTACACTGGATGCTCTAACACTTTGAGCTGTGCTCTCAGCTTCTTTTTGCTTTTTATATTATTATTATTATAATTATTATTATTTATTATTATTAGTTGGTCATAGGACCTGAACTCTGGGCCTGAGCATTGTCCCTCAGCTCTTCAGCTCAAGGTTAATGCTCTACCTCTTGAGCCACAGCGCCACTTCCGGCTTTTCTGCTTATGTGGTGCTGAGGAATCAAACCCAGGGCCTCATGCATGCAAGGCAAGCATTCTACTACTGAGCCACTTTCCCAGCCCTTGCTTTAATTATTTTTGAGATAGGGTTTGAGTGTTTTTATTAGTAACATAGAGATTGAACAGAAGGCTTCACACTTGCTAGTGCTCTGCTGATTAATCATACTTCCAGTCCTTTTGTTCTCCACTGGTTATTTTTCAGATAGTCTTGTTTTCTGCCTAGGTTACCACCAGGATGACAGTTAACCTGCTTTAGGCCTCTTGTCCTAGCTGACATGGCAGGTGTGTGCCATTGTCCCCAGCTTCTTTTTGTTTAAATGGAATCTTAAAAAAAAACTCTTCTGCCTAGGCTGGCTTTGAACTTCTGTCCTTTGCATCTCAGTCTCCCATGTGCTTTAATGATATTAGGCATGCACCAGCATTACCAACTATGAAATGAGGAGTTTTATGAACTTTCTTTTTTGGGGGGGAGGGGGCACCCTGGGCTGGCCTCAAACCATGAGCCTCCCTTTCTTAGCTTCCTAAGTGCCTAGGAGTGTAGGTGTAAGTCTCCTATTTTTGTCCAGGCAAGTCTCAGATTGTGATCTTCCTGTGTAGCTGGAGTCACAGATGTACACCACTATTCCTGCCTTTTGGAATGAGATAGAGTCCTGGTAACTTTTTTCCCTGGGCTGACCTAAGCAACAGTTACAGGTGTAAGCCACTGTACATGTGTACATGGCCCCAAAGAAACTTTAAGTAAAAAAAAAATCCCATTATTTTTACTTTCAGCTGTAAGATAGGCTGAAAACATTAATGATTTTTTTGTTTTGTTTTTTGGTCGGTTGTGGGGCCTGAACTCTAGACCTGGGTGCTGACCCTCAGCTCTTCAGCTCAAGGCTAGTGCTCTACCACTTGAGCCACAGTGCCACTTCCTGCTTTTTCTGCTTTTGTGGTTCTGAGGAATCGAATCCAGGGCCTCACACATGCAAGGCAAACACTGTACCACCGAGCCACCTTCCCAGCCCCATATTAGTGCATTTAAAAAAGGGATTATAACTCAGATATTTGGAATGTGGGCTTATCCCTAAACTTGAGAGACAACCATGCTGTCCCTCAAAAACAACCTTATTTTGACCATATAAAGGGTGAATAGCTAATGAACAGCTTATTCAATCACTATTTTTAGTGTCAAATATTCAGCTCTCACCCAAGTGCTGGTGGCTCACACCTGTAATCCTAGCTACTCAGGAAGCTGAGATCTGAGAAGCACAGTTTGAAGCCAGACTGTGAGGAAAGTCCATGAGATTCTTTTTTTTTTTTGGGGGGGGGGTCCGGTCGTGGGGCCTGAACTCTGGGCCTGGGCGCTGTCCCTCAGCTCTTCAGCTCAAGGCTAGCGCTCTACCACTTGAGCCACAGCACCACTTCTGGCTATTTTCTTTTTGCTTATGTGGGGCTGAGGAGTCGAACCCAGGGCCTCGAGCATGCAAGGCAAGCGCTCTACCACTGAGCCACCTTCCCAGCCCTGTCCATGAGATTCTTATTTCCATTAAACTACAAGAAAAGATGGAAGTAGAGCCATTGCTCAAATGGTACAACACTAGCCTTAAGCACAAAAGCTCAAGGACAGTGCCCAGGCCCAGAGTTTAAGTCCCAGGACTGGCAAAAAACAAATTTAAAAATCAGCTTTCAGAATATGAGCTCTTAACATAATAAAGTTTTCAAGTACTGTGAACTGATGGTCAAAATCTTCCTTTTTGTTTTCAGTACACAGCAACAGTTTATCTCCTAGCCTCCTAGATGTAATCATGTGACTGAATTATAAAAGGTAAATTGCATATGCTTGTTATTTTTATATTCAGATTTTGAGTAACAAGAAGGGTCCCTTGCAGATTGTACCCATTGGGTGGTAATGACAACAAGAGTATAAAATCTAGCAGAATCAGGGTGGAAGGTACCTACAATAATTTACTAATGGCCAAATTTAGAAAATAAAACTTGAGATCAACTATAACTTAGGAACCTAATATGTCTTTATTTTTGAGTTACTGTGATGCCCTAGTGTATTTCTAGGATGGAGTCCTAAACAGTGGTTACTCAGTAAATGTATCCTTCCTGCAGTGTTTACTACAGACTCACTCAGCAAATACCTAGCATGTTAAATCTCACAATGTACCTCTTGTCTATTTTCAACTGGCCAAAGTGCTGATTTTATAAAGGGTATACTCATACTAGGAAGGAAAGAATGTAGAACAGACCTAAAACAAAGGACAAGTACAAGGTATAATTGATCTTAACAATAAGAGCAATTCTACTCTTCAAAAGTCATGGTACTGTAGCTGGGTGCCAGTGGCTCATACCTCTAACCCTAGCTACTCAGGGGCTGAGATCTGAGGATGACAACTCAAAGCTAGCCCAGGCAGGGAAGTCTGCAGACTTATCTCCTATTAACCACTAAAACCCAGAAGTGATAGAGAGCTTTGAGCAAAAAAGTTCAGGAACAGTGCCCAGGCCCTAGGCAGTACCAATACCCCCACCACTTTCCCCAACACAATACAATAACTTGACTGAGAGAATTCTTTAGCTGAACAGCATG